CACAGATTTTGGATTTATGATAAGATTATATTTAATTTAATCTTGCCAAATATTTCATAATGCTTATGTATGTTGCATAAACGTCATCTAACACCAGTCCGTACAAAGCCAGTGGATGCCGAATTTCGCAATCGTGATGGTTGATTTGATCCAATTTAATGTTTTCTTCATGTCTTACACATTCGGGTCATCTCATTACAAATTTTTTATTAATAAGTAAAGTAGAGATGTAGCGCCTTATTGGAATTATATCCGCTTTACAGTTAAATTAATATCATTACTATCTTATTCAAAAAATTATAAGTAGAGAATACAGTAATGCACTATCTAAAAGAATCTATTTTTAAATTAATGGTGGATTTCTTCGAAAATTTTATAGATTCAAAGCTTTTAGAATTTACAGTTAAATAAAAGAGTAAATTCTAAAAAGTACACAAACATATTTAGAAATAGCTATATGCAGTGTTTATTTTATAATACATCAATTTACTCTGTAAAAACTATGCAAAGAAAGTGTTCTTTAGCTATGAAACTTGGAACATGAAATGAGTGTGTAAAGATAAAGAAACAATTACATTTTTCATTACCAATTGGACTTTCAATTGGAGCGCTGTGGCAACGTAACTGTCACATGTTAGTACGTAGTAAATATTTTCGATGACTATATAAACCGATATAAGGCATGATATGAAGTCAAATAACAATCTAAATGTTGTCCTATGAGAGATTCCGCCAGATGTTCTGTAGTTGTTGGGCTAATTTGCTCTTTTTCCGTGATGGCTGCAATTTCTTCCTTAGCATATTCCACATATGTTAGGAATATGGTCATGGAAATTTGCTGGTCATGGAACGGTATGAACCCCACGGAGGAATTGTTTGGAGATTCTCTCCATGTAAGGCTTTATATTACCATGCTCTGGTAAATAGTATAGACAGCGTGACATCATAGACAGTACAATTGATTGCGAAATGCTGTCGACATACTGGCGAGGTTTCAGAGTATTTGTAGCAATACTAGATGATCTACTGTCATAGAAGATGGCTGCTCAAATTATAACCCCAAGTATAATGGTCGTCGTCTGCCACTCCACTACTGTAGCTGGATTAGAGCGATTATCCTCTACACGCGGATACGATTATCAACTGCGCCCAGAGAGAAGCAGGATTTGTCACTGAATACTATAATCCAATTGGGCGATCAGTGGTAGAAGTGGTAAGGAATGGTGGGAATGAAGTCTTGTCTCTTCCAGACGTTGCCGAATGATGTCCCTTGATACTACAAGCGGCGTAAAGGAAGTTATTTTTTTTATGGATGGAAGACAGTGACGCGATTGGTGTTGTAATGGCTGCTCTCAATTGTGCGATCCATTAGAGTACTTGTCACTTTGGGACGTCCAGATTTTTTGTGCTGCGACTGTAAGGTTTCCGACGGGGATGGAATGGCCGGGACTGACGAGAGGTCAAGATGGTCGCATGTGGGTACGATCGGCAATAAGACAGACTCTACGGTTACAAAAAACCGTTTATTTCACATGAAAAAATTTTCATGATCTTCGAAGTTCTAAGTCGACAGAGAAGGACCTCTGGGTCTTCTCTTTTCTAAGATAGTCCCGAATAAATGAGTGACCCCGGTTCGCGAATGAGAGTTTCTTCGACGTGTTGACGGTTTTAGGACGATGCGGTTGATTTCAGGTGATGGGAAGATGTCGATCCGAGGAAGGGAGACGTAGAGAAAGATAGGTACGAGACACACAAACAATTGATCAGACACTTGGAATTTTCGGAAGAAGCCGTCACGTCCTCGAAATTTCGGGGTTTTATTTAATTTCTGACTTCGATCGCCCATTCCAATTGGTTGCTTTTCCCCGTTCTCACTTTTCAAGCGGTTGCTCCCTCGTTACTAATTGCAACGAGAGGCCGGATGACCGAGCGGTCAAGGTGGCAGCCTACTGCTCTGGGGGACCCGGGATCTATCCGAGCGGGTCAAATAATTTCAAGGAATTTTTCTCGGGGTGGTCCGTCTGGATATGTCGGGCCTCGTCCTTCACCACCGGGCCGCCCCATTGTGGGCCTGCTAAAAAGTGGCCCTCTTAGTACCCACAGGATTTTTTTTAATTATAAAAAAAATGTAACGAGATCTCAGCTTAGATCGCGGGAGAGGTCAAAATCAATGTTTAATTCGATCCCAATGGTCGATCTCAGGACTTACATTCTTCTATTGCTTTTACGTTCGCGTCGCGTTTTTCATAAATAAAGAATTATTTCTAGCTTCTTTTTTTCCTTCAAAAATTATTTTTTTAATGCAAACTTCAGTGAAGGTTCGGACCTGTCCAGATCTTCACACTATGTCAGTGGCGTGCCGTGACATTTGATGATAGGGAAGCTGTGTTTCTATAAGAAGCCGACTTCCAGGGGCAATCAGTTAATTCTGTCTTTAAATGTATTTTTAATAGATTATTTATCTGGCGTACTTAATAAATAAACAAGTTCAATATAATTACCTCTGATATTAGATCCAATATATTCCCTATGCCCTCTAAATGCCAATTCTTGCTTTGATAAAAACATATATTATATCTAAATAAATAGATGTTATATCTATTAACCGTAACTATCTCGTTATAATTTTCAATATTTATTTTATATTATTTACTAATGTTAAATTCTATTCCGCTTCGATTTCCAAATCGCTTCAAATACGAAAGAATCGACGATTTTTCGTGTTTTTTGCCAGCTAAATTGTCAAAGACATTCTTATTCCACACACTAATTTCATTCGAAAATAGTAGGCAAGCCAACAAAACAATTTTTGCATTTTTATGCATTTACAGAGCCATTTTATCGTGAAAATGTCGAACAAATTTTTTTATTGAAGTGTTTATATTTAACTTAGGCATTGGCCTTTCTCTTTTAATAATGTTTTCTTTTTCATTATACGATCTCGAGCCAAAACTTTTTAAAATAAATTTTCAATATCGCGATTACATTCCGAATCGCTAGCCACGATATAAGAGCTAAAATTAAAAATAAAATTATAAAAACTTACTCGGTGAAATAAAATGTGTGGTGGATATACATACCTGGTACAAAACCTTCTTCAATTGTATGAATATACAGTACTTTTAAAGAAAATTATAATTAAATATAACTTTGTAATGAAACGTACATGAAAATAACATAACATATTCTTTACTCTTTAAATCTTAATCACTTAGTCAAATAGCACCCTACGAGTGGAATCAGAGACGGTCCTGATAGCTGTGCAATGTGTACTGTACATGCACGCGGGCTGCCAAATCCCGAGGGTGCCCATACCGGTCAATTTCAAATGCCCCTTTTGTCGCATCACTACTATACCTCAAAAGACGCGACAGGGTTCTTGTAAATTTTAAACGTTTCTTACCATAGCTGTAAAAGTCCAAATATATTAAACTACATAGATTGTCCTTCGTTTGTTTTCTAACTAATTCGTTTTAGGACCAGGTGTTGTCAACGGAAATTTCCAAAATTTACAACTTTTCGGTCACTCTCGTCGAACTGAAAAAATTTCTGTCTTTATTACATCTAATACAGTATTTCGAAGAAATCAATCCCCACTGTACTCGGCTATAGATTGGTTCGGTTAAGCTTTTGTTTAAGTAATATTCCGGCTCTTTCGTCAGGGTTTTGTGTCGCCAATTCCCTAATCGCTTAATTATTTAACTACTTCTTAAGTAGAAATAAGTCGAAACCGGTTACTTTGTACTCGAATATTTGTAGTCTCGGGAAAAAGTGGAAAGACAAATTTTTATGACAAACGGATACATAAATCGTAAATTTAAGGAAAATAAATTCTAGAGCTTTTTCTGTACCTCGTGCATCTCTCTCATTCATTAAATTTAGTTGTAAATTATGCTACCAAAGTAACGGTTAACTTTTTAACATTATACGAGAATTGTACACGTTTTTTTCTACATCCCCTTAAAGATGGGATATACGAAATCGTAATATCATCGGTTTAACATTGAAATCCGTGAGTAATATAAAATCGGAGAGCGGAATAAATATATCAAATATTTATATTTTAATGGATTTTTTAAACTCCTGTCAACTATACAGAACTATCGTAAAAACATACCAGTAAACTCTTATTGGTTATGTTAAGTGTGTGTCATTTGTTCAACGAGTGTGTGTCATTTTTCAACGAGTGAATAATCTACTCGTTATTCACGTAATTGGCCAAATATCTAGTGGGCGGGCGGCTAACAGTCCAGAACCGGTCCCGAATAGAATTGGAAGCGCTATATGTGTAAGCATCTACCCAAGGTCTTCTTCGGTGGTGTTAATATGGAGATTTTAGCTCAATGTAGGCTCTTTCTCCGAATAGACGTGTGTGTATGATCGCTATGAGACGGATTTGCCGGCTGTATCGAACAGCCTATACGTACGCGCGGGAAATTAATGCCTTCCGGAAGGACTTTTATGGGGAACTGGCCTCCTATTCAGTCGTTATGGGCAAGGAGAAAACCCGGAAAACTCCAAGCAGCCAGCCTGTCCGATCGCGGCGCGAACCCACGACCGAACTTCCCAGTGTTTAGGGTCTGGTCACCGCTATGAGCGGCAACGGAGACCACTCGCCCACTGGTGGGGGCCTCAACCCAAGGTCGTAGGCTTCCACCGGCTAAACCGGGTGAGGTTGGTGCTCTGTAAAGTGCATGCGCAAATCTGGCTTTTTGGAATCTGAGAATACATAGATTCCACTCCGCACTAATATTCGAATATAAATAGCAATCTTATTTTTTTTTCACGTGTAGTACAAAAATTTGTAATAAGATACACAATGCGGTTATAATAAAACATTGTGCGATTATTTTCATATAATTAAAATTAATATGTATTTATTTTTTAGAAAATACAAGGGAAGCGGCGCTTCCACCGCTTCTAATGACGGCACGCCACTGCACTATGTGTATTCTTCTAGACCCACTGTTCAACATCATCTTACTGCAGCATCGATTCAATCAAAAAAAGGCGGCAGACACGTCTGCATTTTCCATTTTGCTTTTATTAATTAAGCGTAAGTTGTGACCTTTCTCAAACGCGCTTAGGAAATACTGCCAACGGGAGCGCTGAGGCATCTTCACAGATTTCTTAGAGTTTACTGTTTACGTTGTCAGTGCAAACGTGTCATTCAAATACAATGTCCGCAATGAGAGTAAAATACTATATGCAAAAATTTTGTAAATTGTGAAGAGGTGGAGAAATTAGTAGAATGACGATGTTCTGAAAAAGTTTATTTGAAGTAACTTTTTACCAAAATCATGCTGAAGTATTTTAATCAATGATCACATAAGAAATTCTTGCTTATTTACCCTAAATAGTTAGGAGAGACTGGGGCTAGTTGTCATTGTGCAAATATCGCCTTTATAATCATCAGTAATTTTTTTTAATCGATCTATTTTTGAAATTAGCTCTGTCTTGGCAGGAAACATAGATAAATTAACGTATTGTAGATCTGTTTTACAGAAATGCTTGATTTTATTATCGGGAGATTAAATTTGACATCAGCAGGGTATTTAAAAATTGATGATAAAAATGTGACACAGAGGTGTATGTAGTCGAAAGTGAATTAAAATTGCTGACATCATATTTGAAAGACCTCTTTATATGAATCCCAGAATGCGCTCTGGAAACGTCAGATATGGTCATTGGCAAAAAAATTTTAATCATTTGCCTATCTAGCCAAATAGCATTTGTACACGGAGTATGGTGGATCTTGTTCTATTGTTTAGAAGTGCGTCGATTATTTTTGCAAGAGTATTATACTCGTATACATAAAACATAAAGTACAAGGCAAATGGTTGGAAGGTCATACAGGACAGGCAAGAAAAGGAGTACGTGTCTGATAATGATTGGTTCTTTGTTAAGGGAGAGAATTTATGAAGATGTCATCACTTTGTAAGTTATCCAACATGTAAGACGAACTTGAACTCGAGTGCTGGTGCGCCACTATTTTCCTAAGAATAGAAACTGTTCGGCTTTCTCCACCTTTAGAGGACATCTCGCCCTTAATCTGATTTATCATGCATGTATAGGCTAATTAGTTTTCAAATCCTCTCTCGCCCTTTTTGTCCGTTTATTCTTCCTAGAATAAACTGATAATTGCTATGATTAGTCTTTCTTCTGAAAAGATCAAAATTCGAAAAACCTATACCTGATTTGAAGGTTGGTTTGTTTGAATGTCAGCAGATCTCTAAATGGAAACAAACAAAAAGGACAAGACTAATTCATATCTATTTATGAATGTCTTGGTGTGTTGTTTACGTGCCTATTAACTCAAATCTCTTCTAGCATTTATTTAGTGACATTCAATGAGATCAGCTCTCTCGGTAATAAAAATATTGATTTTTATATACAGTGAAACCTCGCTTAACGAGCATAATTAGTTCCAGAATCTTACTCGTAATGCGAAACACTCGTTAAGCGAAACAATTTTTCCCATAGAAGTTAATTTAAAATATGATAAAAAATACTTCAATGCCGGAAAAAAATACTCAAATACTGTATTTACTTGCATATAATATGAGGTTTTTATTCATTTTTCAGTGCTTCAAAAACCTAGGCGTCCTATACATGCGAGCGAGTAAATACGGTATTTTACATATAACATTTATATTCAAAGAAAATTATATAATATACATTGTTATGGAGCATGAATCATCATCATCTTTTCTTCTAGTACGGAATGAACCAACCTGGAATGAGGATTCGATTTGCAGAAAACAAAAAAATCAGATAACAGCATGATGGAGCATGTGCACAATCTGGAACTTCCCTTCTCCTTGTCGCTTAACGAGTGACGAACTCGTTAAGTGAATCATTTTTTAACTGCCATTACCATCTTCCATTTTTCTGTCTTATGTCTCTAGCATCCACCCAGGCAGTAGATCCACTTTGTAGATCCCACTCCAGTCCCTCTTTCTATCACAATGGAGGGCATCCAACAGGTTGTTTACCTTCCTGGTCAACACTCTTTGTACATATCCATTCATGTCAGTGCACGTTACATGTACTACCCATCTGGTGTGTCTCTCAGCTATAATTTGTATGATATCATAGTCATCAACTTTGCAATGTAGTTCCTCATTGTGCATTGGTAACAGAGAAATCATGAACCAGTTTTATTATCCTGCATGGATCCAAAGATCTTTCCAAAGACTTGCGTTTTCAAACATTTGCAATTTGTGTTCAGTGACACCATTTCACAGTCATATAGCAGTAGTGTTGCCACCTTTTCAAAATCGCTGACCTGGACGGCAGGTGAGGTTTGTTTGAACAGAAGTTCCTGATGCATGCACAATGTCATTTTGCAATGCAAATAAATTGCAGTTCATGCCGGTTCTAAATCAGTTACAGTTAGGGACTAGGGAGACTTGGGTAGGAGTAACATAAGTAACCTAAATTAAGAAAAACAACTACAGATGACTTAGCTCTATTGGATATTGGAGATGTGTACGAATATGAATTGCACAAGCAAAACAAAGAAAAAAAAGTTGACAGGTTGCGCACGATATTCCTGGACAAAATAAATAGTTCACCCAGACAGTGAGTCGATTCCCAGACTGTCCGGGTGAAAACTGGACGGGTGGTAACACTATATAGCAGCATTGATCAGATAATGGTTTTATACAATCTTAACCTTACCTTTCTAGAAAGTTGTTTAGATTGTAGTACTTTTTGCAAGCTATAGTATGATGCATTATGGAGCCTTGAGTAAATTTCTGTTGTGATGGAATTATATCAATCATTAATGTTAATTATAAATGTAATATTATATATCTGCAATGTATAATAAGGTAAATATTATTTTAAATTGATACAAAAAGTCATAAATTTCTGTTCTTTTATTACCAAAATCATTTTATATGNGTCAAATTACTTCATATTTACTTAAATACTTAAATAATTAATACATCTACTTAAAATATTAATTATATTTATAACTAATTATTTAAATTAGCCTTATAGTCCAATAATACAGCAGATTGTTTGGCATTAATTTCATCAAATATTGCTACAAAATTACTTCATAAAATATATAAAAGATCTACAATAAAATAGCTTGATATGTGACACAAAACATCTCTATCAGCTTGATATTGGTATATAAATTTTTAATTATTAACTGTAATATATGAAAAATCATTATCATAAACTAAATCTAAAATGTTGTGTCTGTATGTTAGACAATTACTATATTTGCTAAGAGAGAAAATATGCCAAGTTGTATAGATATATTGTTATGAAGTGTAACAAATGCATTAAGTCACTAAGAGATATGAAGTACAACTTCACATTATTTAATCTATAGTTTATTAGTAATTACTCAATTAAAATACATCTATATAAAAAATAATATACAAAGTTGCTGAGATATTTCCAAAAAGTAAAATTTAATATTAGTATGAAAGTGATAGTCATATAAATTAACAATATAATAAAATAAAACCCAATACATATTTAGTAAAATAATTTTAATTAAATTAAGAACTTAATTTTCATAGAATTAATTAATGAATCGATTTAAAAAAAAATGTTATATATAAATCAATTTATGGAAAATTAAATAAACTTATACTAATATACTACATTATATGTTTTGTCTAAGTAACCTTACCATTAAAGAAATTTTTTGATGTTTTCTTTCTTAATGTATTAACATCATTATCATCAGTATTAGCCCATTCTAGAACTAATCGTCTACCATAAATATGAGTACTGTTGGACAGTGCTTTAAAGGCTCGCTGAATTAAATGTATTATTTTGATTAATGCAATTTTAATATAAATTTTAAAATGTTATAAAAGTTTAAATCTATTTACTTTAGCATCTTTTCTGGTTACGAAAATAACAAAACCAAATCCACGATGAGTTCCTGTACCGTGAAGCTTCTTTGGTAGTCTGACTGTTTGTAATTCTCCAAATACTCTGTAAAAATTTTATATAAAGCAATGAAATTATTATTGATTTTAAAATATTTAAAATCCATTTATTGCAATGAATGAATGGAATTAACTGATTTCTTTATGAAAAAATAAATTAATCTTATATGAAATAAATTTTTCTTTAATATAATTAAAATGTTAATGAAAATTAAATATATTAAATTACTTCCAGAATACTTAATTTAATTAATTAAATCACTGTTTCTATTAAACACTTATTTTATTTTACTAAGATAGATACTTTAGTTTAAATAATAAAATACATATGAGAGTCATAAATATCATTTTTCGCTCACTATCAGAATTCTAGTTTAATCAATATATCGTAGTATTATTCATCATTTTATACTATATATGATACAAATTATATCTTCAATTAATCATAAGTTACAAAATAAATGTTAAGGTTTCAGTAAATTAGTCATTAAATATTGTAAATTATATTGTTTTAACAACAAAAAATTATTATATGTCAAATTGAATTACTATCTATTTGCTTTCCATTTATTTGCTTTACTGTATATTCTGTCACTATGCTTTTTTTCAAATTTGAGTCAGTTTATTAAATACAATGTAACTTCATGCTTTATCTAAAGCATGAAGTTACATAGATAAGTTACATAAAGTTACATTATAAAATTATGATAGTCTTATCTATGTAATTTCATCTAAAGCATGAAGTTACATAGATAAGACTAAAATAATTTTATAATTTCATATAAAATCATTGTTATCATGAAATTTATTCCCTTTATTCAATTTTTTATTTTCAATTAAATCATTGTTACTAGACTCCAAACTTTCACATAAAATTACAATAATTACATTGCTTCTTCCAATTTGAATTTAAAATGGTAGATGAAACATTTTAAACAGAAGTAGCATTTGATAGAATTTTAGAAATTGAATATTTCATTTTGACTGTGAAAATGGATGTGTCCAAAAATGCTTAAATTATAGAAAATTACATAAAAATCCAGAATAAGCAGGTATTTAATGCAATTTTCATTTAGTTAATATGTATAAAACGATGAGATTTTAACCATGTTCAATGCTGAGGATTACCTTGGAATGTACTGTCTCATCCAATATGTGAAGATAGGGTTGCCAGATGTTCTAGATTTTTTCCAACTGCCATCTATTAATAGGAGTACTTTATTCTAAAAACTGTTCCTACATTAAAATATTTTATTCTTTTCCACATTTTAAATGTCTGTCATGGCAGAGTAAAAACCATCCTACATGTCCTAGAATTGAAGCATCCCAGTATCTTTAGAGAAGAACTCATTTTGTTCTAGATTTTATTCCCGAGTACCTGGACCCTATGCTAAGGACACTCATGTGCATCAAAAAGTGTTTACGTAATTACTTAAAAATAAACTTTTTTATAAACAAAGGATAAAATTTCCTTATCATTTATTGTTCACTTAAATCAGCAGGAAAATAATTTATAAAACTATACAAATTTAAAGATTTAAACTACCATACTTAATATTTCAAAATGTTTCCAAGATAAAAATATTGATGTCCATGTCAAATTAGTAATTAAAGTAATGCATACTGTAAAAGTTATGATTCTAAAAATGTCAGTTTTCTTAACTATGTTAATTTCTTTACACAAACAATAAATCCATAAACCCAATTTTTAAGTAATGCCAAACAATTTGCCATATTATCAGGCTTTAATAAGGCTAATTTAATAATTAGATATAAAATAACTGCCTAACTCTAGTCAAATTACTTCATATTTACTTAAATACTTAAATAATTAATACATCTACTTAAAATATTAATTATATTTATAACTAATTATTTAAATTAGCCTTATAGTCCAATAATACAGCAGATTGTTTGGCATTAATTTCATCAAATATTGCTACAAAATTACTTCATAAAATATATAAAAGATCTACAATAAAATAGCTTGATATGTGACACAAAACATCTCTATCAGCTTGATATTGGTATATAAATTTTTAATTATTAACTGTAATATATGAAAAATCATTATCATAAACTAAATCTAAAATGTTGTGTCTGTATGTTAGACAATTACTATATTTGCTAAGAGAGAAAATATGCCAAGTTGTATAGATATATTGTTATGAAGTGTAACAAATGCATTAAGTCACTAAGAGATATGAAGTACAACTTCACATTATTTAATCTATAGTTTATTAGTAATTACTCAATTAAAATACATCTATATAAAAAATAATATACAAAGTTGCTGAGATATTTCCAAAAAGTAAAATTTAATATTAGTATGAAAGTGATAGTCATATAAATTAACAATATAATAAAATAAAACCCAATACATATTTAGTAAAATAATTTTTTTTCAAAATGTAAGATTTAAATATTTTTACAGACCTGAACAAATCTGCAATTTCTCTTGTTGTTGCTTGGAAAGGTATATTCTTGACTAAAATTTTAGAACTTTTTTGCTTTCCTTCTTTAGCTTTTTTCCTTGTAGCTGTTACTGGCCTGTAAAGATTATTAATAATCTTTATTTTAATTTTAGAAATATTTCTAAAATATCTTAAATACTAAGTTTTATATATTAACAACAAATACAATAATTTCCAGAATTAACATATCACTTTAAACATTCTAGTAAGTATTTATTTAAATATTTTAACTTTAGAAAATCTTATTGACCATGTCTAAAAGTAAACGAAGCCTGAGGCAAGTCATGTGACTGGACCTTCTTCAACTTCCAGTTGAACGTGGAAGTTGTGTTAATAGTCGATGCGAAAAACATTGTGTGCATCAGTCACGTTTCTTTAAATAACTATATTGTCTCATAAAATTATTGTTAGAATATATTATTGTTTATACATAAAACTAAATTTAATTCGACTTTCTTCTCCATTTCTTTGATGCATTTTTAGAGAAAAAAGTGCAACATTCATCTTTTATTCTTGCTTTGTTTACTCAATACTATTCAGAAATGTCTACAATTACTCAAAAAAACTCTTGTTTATATTTAAATTAAATATTTTCGATTTTTTAAAATTTTCTACAGGGTTTTTATATGAAGATAATAGTGAGGTTGAGGCTGAAGTTTTAAACACAAAAATGTGTATGTTGGACATTCAGTGCCACTTTCCTGTAAGCCTAGAAGTTTGACAATGGCATTTGGAATGTCAGTGGAATCATGCTCGACATACCAAATGCCATCGTCAAACTTCTAGGCTTACAGGAAGGTGGCACTGAACGTCCAATGTACACGTTTTCGCGATGAAAACGTCAGCCGCAACCTCTCTAATGCTCCATATAAAATATATTTCAAAATTATTTTGTATGGAGCATTATCTTCATATAAAAATCCTGTAGAAAATTTTAAAAAATCAAAAATATTTAATTTAAATATAAATAAGAGTTTTTTGAATAATTATAGACACTTCTGAATAGTATTGAGTAAACAAAGCAAGAATAAAAGATGAATGTTGCACTTTCTTCTCTAAAAAATGCATCAAAGAAATGGAGAAGAAAGTTGAATTAAATTTAGTTTTATGTATAAACAATAATATATTCTAACAATAATTTTATGAGACAATATAGTTATTTAAAGAAATGTGAGTGATACACATGATGTTTTTCGCATAGAATATTAACACAACTTCCATGTTCAACTGGAAGTTGAAGAAGGTCCAATCACGTGACTTGCCTCAGGCTTTGTTTACTTTTAGACACGGTCAATATGTAAAGTAACTTACTGTGTTGCTCTGTTTGAAATTTTTAGTTCTAATGCATGATCATTTAATTTTGAATGCTGTAATTGTTTTAATGCTTGTTGTGCAGAATTTTTATGCTTATATTGAACAAATCCATATCCCATTGATAAAAGACAACCTTTTAATTAAACAAGTAATAAATAATTAAAAATTATTTTAAAAATCTGTTTATAATTACTATGATGCTAATCATTTTTACCTGGATGGTTGAGATCTTTCTTTTTTGCTATGGTTGCAGAATGTATGGGTCCAATTTTTTTAAAATGCTAAAATACATATAAATAAAAAAAAAATTCAGATTATTTCAAATAAAATCAAAGGTTTCTATATTATTATTTTCTTTATAAGTAGCTAAACATTTATATTGAAAATTATAATCATGCAATATGCAAGTTTGTACGTTGACAATCTTTGAGAGCTGCCAAGAAACTGGAACTAGCTGGCCCAATTTCATTTTAGCAAGAGGGATAAACTTTGGGCCCTGTTATAAAATGTTGTGAATCCTGTTGCTCCTTTTGTTTTTGTTTGCATTATATTTCAAATTCTGTTCTTTCTCATACTCACAATCCCAGATATAAAATAAATGATCCTGTTGTGAAGTTTGAATGTTTGCATAACATTCATAATACTTCATAATAAAAAAGAATAACTCTTTTGGGGTGTCTTCATAATTCATTCTTTTCTCACATCTCAGGAATACAACAAAATCACACAGCAGAATTGACCTTTATTTTGAGGATCTTCTCCAGCTCAATGTTTAAAACATGTTAATAAAATAAAAGCAAATTCCATCATGTAACTGTTGAATTCCTGAGGTGTTTCTAATATATAATTTTCATTCATTATTATTGTTTGGTTTTATCCACTTTAATTACAACTATATTATTATTCTTTAAAAAGTTTTTACATTCATATATTATTTTTTATGTTGGTAATACTTCTTATCATATATATAATTTTTTTTTTGTTTTAATTTGTTTACTCTAGTTTTTAATTTTCCTCTAATATCTTGTTGCTCTATTGGTATGTGTCAGAAAATTGCAGAATTTTTTTTGTATTTTAAAAATTATAATATAACATTAATATCAGATCTTAATAATAAAATAAAAAATTAAATTACGGACAAATAATATGAAAATATTAAATAAAAAAAAACATTATCTATAAATTAATATGTACTGTACATGTGAGAATAATAAAATTTATATGGGCAAAACTGAAAGAAAATTAGAAAATAGAGTAAAAAAACAGATTTGTGTAATAAAATACAATTTTGTCAGACTCAGAAGTAGCCAAACACTGCAATACTACAGATGTGTAGAGGTTATATTTTTAATATCAATCTGATTTTAAAAATATAAAAATAATTTGTACAGAACAAAATGTACATAAAAGAAAATTAAAAGAACACATGAAAATTACAAATACAGATAAAAAAATTAATATAATTGTTTAGACATAAATAATATGGCAAAAATACAGAGGGGGAGGGTGAAAAAGTAGGTATACAGTTGAGAATCTGAGAAATACAAATGTTTGATGTTCATTATTATTATGTTGGGTTTTGTGAGTTATACTCGGTTCACACCGGTGGCTGTGTACTATACCGGACCAGAGTCAAGGCATAGCAACCAAGAGCTAAAATTAAATAAGTGTGTCTGTGTCTGTATTCAGGAATTTCCTAACAGTGTGGCATGTATTCAATATAGTGGCCTTCTGTAGTGTTATGTATGTATTTCTACTCAATTGTAATGTTCCCAGGCTTTTGTGTAGTGTGTGGGGTATCACACCTGTACAGGAGAGAATGACAGGTACAATAAGCACCCTTTCCATCTTCCACAGATGCCTTATTTCCTGGGTGAGTTCAGTGTACTTGCTAATTTTTTCAGTGCACGTGTTTTGTATATTGTGAGTGTTTGAAATAGATATTCTATAATGTATGTGATCTTATTGTGTTTGTCAATGAGTGTGATGTCTTGTCTGTTGTGGTAAATTGTTTTATCTGTGATTATGGCTCTGTCATAGTACATTGTCATAGTACTACGACAATGTACTATGACATGTATTATTATTAGTTCGTATTCCTTATTTGTGATTTAATTTGTACATAAAAATAAATGTTTTTCTTCCTATTTCTCCCTGTATGATTTTTTTCATAACATCAACTGTATACCTACTTTTGCACTCCCACGTATACTGTAAATCCTACAGTAATGTAATGGAAGTATGCAGAATATGCATACAACCTTTCATCACTGTGGGATAGAAATAATTTTTTAAAAATTCTATAAAGTATAAAAAGAATTTGAATATTATGAAATATTATATTGAATATAATGTTAAATGAAAACTTAAGAAATTGTAAGCAAAATGAATATATTTTTAAAGTTGTAATAAATTTAAAGTTAATTTTGCATTATATCAATAAAAGGCCAGATTTTCCATTCCATTTGGTATAAGAGAAAACCTGACGAGCCAACCAAAAAATGCTTTTCTTAATCCTAACTCAAATCACCTGTTCACTTTATTTCCATAGCAACAAAATAATTCATTTTGTTACAGGTAAATATGGCTTATATATGATAGAAAATAAAAGTAAATTATGGATTATTTTATTTAACCCAAATACAGTACTATTTTTTCAGGTTTTTAATTATTCAAACTGACATTTCTCCAAAGTGTCCTGTTAGCTTTTTCCATAAAGAAAAAGCTGATCATTAAACTATATATTGCTTCAAGTCTTATGGATGGAAAGAGATATTTTTAGTCAAAACAGTAATTGGACAAACTTGAAATATTGAAATTGTCTTCAGGTTCTTAATCACCTTGTAAGCATTGTTAATGACATAGGCAGGCAATCTCTGTTTTTCTTGATAAAGTTGACCAGAGTTTCTTCCATTCCTACATTCATTCAAGCATTTTTCAACTGATCTAATAAGCCAAGGTACCTAGTGTGTCTGGGAAACCAACTTATCTAGGTGGTAGTTATTTAGTCAGTATCTTGAATGCCAAAGTTGGAGAATAGTTTATGTCTTTTTAACTTTTCAATCTTATTGATTATTTAAAAATCAGATCTTTTCTAGCACTTTAACATCAACTAAATGTTCCTATAGTGTTTTGATAAACTTTTTTCATTTGATAATTGTAGGAATTTTCTCTTTATTTGATAATACAAGAATTAACTAATTGTCATTCCTCTAATATCTAATGATCTGAAGTAAAACATAGTCAAAGTAATCAAATTTAGATGTCATATTTGTTCTTGCTATTTTATCTAAGCTTCTTGCCATCATCCATTTAGCAGCTTTTTGCTCTCTAATAGGAAGAAATATTACACACCTTATCCAGCTTGTCACATATTGTAATTAAATGTCTGTTCTTTCTAAACTCTGGTACACATTTATATTTTCTTGAGAACAGATCAAATACTTTTCTGGGAGCATATTTACTTTCATGAATTTAAACTATCTTACCAAGCTGTCTTCTCTATTTAATATCACATATTTGCTTTTGGAAAATCCATTTATTCTTTCTTATATATCTGAGCCTCTCTTTTTATCTTAAAACTTTAACCTTTCTCCAACATGTCAGTTTAAGCTTTTCTAACCAAGAAGATTCTGCTATGCCCATTAGTTTTAAGCTCCAGATCCACATTCTATGTACTTTTTTAGTAGATATCAACTTCTTCAAACATTCTTCAAATTATTCTCTTCTTCAATGTTAAACAGTAAAACAGAAGTTATATTTGCTACAGACTTATTTGCATGATACTATTAATTTGATACTGATTTAGAAAAAGGAGTTATTCTTCATTCTCTAATATTTTAGTGGCAATTCTAAGTTTTCACCTAGCTAGAAAATATATTTCTCTGTTGATAAGCAATTCCATATTTACACCATCCACAAGACACAATGCTAATAATTTTGAAGGAATCAGTTTATTACTTAATAAAAGTAAATAATTATTATTATTTTATTATTTCTTTTTTTTTTTGGGTTTTTTTGATGTCTTAATTCATGTCATTTAAAATATTTAATGTTCAAATTTTTATTTGAAAATAATAATTAAACTTTATATACATTTTATTTACTTTTCATATTCTAAATAAAAAATGTTGTTTAAGTTTCAATCATTTTGTGGTTAAAATGTCAATAAATTATTAAAAACTTTTATTCAGTGACTGGTAGTTCAAAGTTCTTTTACATTTGATTCTGATAATGAGATATCTTGTCTCAAAAACATTTTATCAAGTACATTTAATTTCTAAATATTTCTTTTAGCACTAATACTTTTAAACAAACCTCAAAACTATGCAACTATATGATAAAGAATAAAGAATACTTTCATAAGAAACAATATTTATTAAATATGTTAAGATGAAAAAGTTATTCCTGTATGTGTAAAGTATACTCTACTATTTAATAAATACAACACTTACTTCTCTCAGTTCTTCTTCTGTAGTTTGAAAATTAATATTTTTCACAAACAAAGTACTGCCTTCTTCTGGTTCATCATCATTGTCATCATCATCATCATCATCATCATCATCTTCAGCTTTTGTATCATTATCAGGAATAATGTTTTTACTTTCAGGTTCTATAGTCTGTTTTTGTTGATAAAAAATAATATTAATTTAATATATAAACTTAAAAATTTAATTGAATCAATTATATTAAAAAAAAAAATAGTGATCAAAGCAATAAAAGCTATACAGAAAATCCTTGTTAATTCGAATTTGGATAGTTAAAAAAACTGTTAGTTTGTAAATATATTATTTATCTTGGCTGGGGAAACAGAGATTTACATATTAAGGAATTTGGTTAGTTCGAAATATGTCAGCTTTAAATTCAAAATGAAAATTCTGTCTGAACTGTGATATGCATATGTTAACTTGTTTATTTAGCTTGAACTGCCATTATAGTTCAAGAGTACAATAGATCAAATCTGGTCAATATGACTTTGCTTTTACAGTAACACATTTTTGGGTGTCACCTTACCCATGGACTATGCTTTTTTCTCTTATCTCATAAAATGTGGCTGGGTTTCAGGATTGAAAGATTGAGCTACAAGTAGCAGAGTGAGATATTTGTTGGGCTCTAAGATACTACATTTGGGCACTTTAAAATAGTTGAAGCTATATTTTGAGAAATTCTGCTTTACTTTTTATAAAATATATCTGGCAACATGGGAGGTTCTCACCAGACATGAGCTATTTATCTACAGTTTATTTATATTAATATTATTAATTAATGAAAATAGTGTTATGTTATGTATATGTAGCTGTATTCCATTTGCTCAATAAATTACATCAGTTATATGTCATTTGGCATATTGTACAGAAATATATAAATCTCAGATAATTTAAAACTCAATATTCAAAGTTCCAAGTATTTCATCCCTTGAATTTTGAATTAATTAGGATTTCCCATATATATGTATAAAACTCAAATTTTATATGTGCAATTCATAGCTAGCTGAAAATAGAAATGAAATCATACTGTGTTTTATAATGTATATCATCTAAACTTTTATTACTATATTGATCTATATTTTGTTCTTTTTCATACTCACAAGCCTCAGATATAAAATATATCTGAGGCTCATTTATATACGAGGGCTATTTTTTTAAATAAGGTCCGTTTGTGAATGAGAGTGAGAATGACGCGCGATTGCAGCAGTATGCAGATGCTCATGCATACATACTGCTGCAATCATGCGTGTGTCACTCACAGCCAAATAACAAACAGTAATCTGCCAACCAATCAAATTTTTTGTAAGAAATTTACAAGATTTTGACAATCATCTTGACTGAAATGTGGTGGTCTTTAAGGGTCAAATCATGATTTTCATCTATCATTGTTGATATGGGCCAAAAGTGTGGTTCAACTGTTATCTCAAAAATGGCCAATTCAGAAATATGCACCCATTACTTCACTGTTGTAAAGAAAGGACAGTTATGCCCTAGAGTTACCAATATTTCAGAGTGAATCTCATATGCTCCTTTCTTCTGGAGGAACAAAAACTTCATGATCACATGCTTCTCAATGTTGCTGAATTGTGATCTTGGTGCAGCTATCATGAATTCAAATTTTCAAAATAAGCAAACTCAGTTGTAACAGACTGTTATGGTGCATATGCTCTATCAATGACTTCTCTATTATTCTTGTAGCATGGCTTATGCTCTCTTGCATCTGGGTAAAATCACAAACTTTACAGCATCAATATTGGTCATGATTTATAAAAGTCATGAAGTTTTTTTACCAGTAATTGTTAGAAAATTTTTTCCAGTTTTTGAAAAGGAACATCATTTATACTTTATCAATAACTAATTACACTACAGACCAACCTAAGGAGTTCATTTTGCAGAGGCTAAACGAAATTGGGAAAACATTGTAATAAGTGTATAGAGTTAAAGGCTACTTATGTTGAATAAAATATATTCAGCTTATCAATTTTTTTTCTTTTTTGCTAGAAAAAGTTGCAAACTTTCAGCATTTCCCACATAAAATGTTGCATTAAAGCAAAAAAACAAAAATCTCTTTCCAATGATTAAATAATGTTTAATAAAAACACTTATAATTTAAATAATTTTTTTTGTAATGAAGAATCCTCCAAAGTTAGAAAATGCAAAAATACTTTAAATTTTATTTTAAGTTTATATCAATGACTTTATGGAACATTGTTTAATAATTATTTATTTGTTTTGACAACTTATATTTTCTGATAATTAAAACCATTTGCCATAGATTAAATTTGTTTTATGTAATGATTTTTCAATATCTAATTTTGAAAGTTTATGATACAATTTTAAGTACTTATTTAATAAAGTTTTATAGAAAATAGTTTTAGTTGAATTTTCAACCGAATAAATTATTACTTTTTATTAGGATTTGATCAAAGCAGAAAAGATCACCTTAATTTCTTATGAAAATAAAAAAAAGTAAATGATTTAAGTTATACAAATGGAAATTACATAAAATTAAGAAACAAAAGGTACAATTTTAGTTTTTATAAAATATTAACTTGATCTATTAATTTCACTTACTTTTGGTTCTTTTGATGGAGATGAATTAAAGACATTTATTGGAGCCCACTCAAGATATAAAGGAACATGCTGAAACTAAAGTAAAAATTAAAAAATTTTAATTACTGATAATTACATTTCTATCAATAAACAATATATAAATATATATCAGTACTTAATCCTTCATATTTAAAGATTTAAAAAAAAAAACTATTATTTTTTATACATAAACAGACATCACGAAACCTGATAAATTTACAAAGCCAAACAACAAGTTTGGCTTTATTTTTTATCATCATATCTGTAAAGCTAATCTAATCTAATTTCCACAAGATTAAAAAATTGTTATTTCTGTCTTCAAAAAAATTAATTCCTCATTCAATTTCTTAATCAAGGAGTAATCCTTGATTAAGAAATTGAATGAGGAAGTACAGGTAAATACCTGTATTACTTGAATATCTTTATTACCTTCTTGATTAAGAAGTCGAATGAACAAAGTTTACAAAGTTGATGCTGAAATGTTTGAAGAATTACATCAATGCTGATTGTGTCCCAATTTTAAAAATCTTTAAAAAAAATTGTAAATGGATCATGGAAGGATCTATGGCCAGATTCCACTAAATGATGATAATGATTCCACTGAAAATGTGAATCTATTAATTTTGAAGAAATATGTGATTACAGATATATCAACTGCTAGAATTTGTAGTAAAGAGAACTAATCTGATCTTGAAGAACTGGAGAAACTTAGTGATAAGCATCAACGAGCATTTATGGATGAGGTTACTTTATGAATTAGTGAATTAGTAAAATTATGAATGAAAAAGAAGAAAAATCAAGAAGAAAAAAGTAGAAACCACAGAGAATAATATGAAAATTTTTGTGGATATTTTCCTTAAAGATATTCTAGAAATAATTCCTATTGTTGAAGAAAAACATAAAGATTTGTAGGAATTAGAAAATGTTTTGAACTCTCTCTACCAACAAATGTTTAAGCCCTAAAATAATAAGCTATTTATAATAATATTTTTGAAAAAGACTAAAAAATTTGCAACTATACAAAAATCCTGTCTATATTTTGAACAAAGATAAGCACAATGGATTTTATTTTTATTTCATCAAATCTTATGTTTAATTCCTTGTTTCCTTCTAGATTAAGTTGCAAATAAATGTAGAAATTAGTTAAAGACTTTTTTATTTATTATTTACTGCTGCAATCATGCGTGTGTCACTCACAGCCAAATAACAAACAGTAATCTGCCAACCAATCAAATTTTTTGTAAGAAATTTACAAGATTTTGACAATCATCTTGACTGAAATGTGGTGGTCTTTAAGGGTCAAATCATGATTTTCATCTATCATTGTTGATATGGGCCAAAAGTGTGGTTCAACTGTTATCTCAAAAATGGCCAATTCAGAAATATGCACCCATTACTTCACTGTTGTAAAGAAAGGACAGTTATGCCCTAGAGTTACCAATATTTCAGAGTGAATCTCATATGCTCCTTTCTTCTGGAGGAACAAAAACTTCATGATCACATGCTTCTCAATGTTGCTGAATTGTGATCTTGGTGCAGCTATCATGAATTCAAATTTTCAAAATAAGCAAACTCAGTTGTAACAGACTGTTATGGTGCATATGCTCTATCAATGACTTCTCTATTATTCTTGTAGCATGGCTTATGCTCTCTTGCATNTTCCTTCTAGATTAAGTTGCAAATAAATGTAGAAATTAGTTAAAGACTTTTTTATTTATTATTACTAATTTTTTAAAAACTACTAGTTCTATGGAATAAATACAAGCTATTTATGAAATTTCATCTCACAGCAATGTATGCATAGATATGATACAAATAAAAAGAATAGACAATACATATGTTGTAAAGATAAAATTTAGACATTTTTTTTATAGAAATAACTGAGGAAAGATGTTCTAAAACGTTTGTTGTAGGTATGTAATTAGGGTAACCAAAGGTCATTTCATCACATATTTCATTGGAAATAGATGTATCAGCAATGTCTGACAATATGAAACTTTTGAAAGAAGACATTTGCATGCTATCGCTTTTTCACTTCGAAAGTGGCCACAACACAACAAAGGCTCAGAATCTCACCTGCAAAGCATTTATTAAAGCATTTGTGGGTGAACAAAGATCAATCAGCTGCTGCAAATGTCAAAGGGTTAATAGTGGAGAAGAAAACAATGATTTGCATTTATTTGGCATCATCATGATGGAGCTGCTTCCAACTATCATTTGAACATCAAGAACAAAGAACTTCAGCCAAAAATTAAAAACGTCCATTACCAACATGACATTGTGCCAGCTCATAGTGCTAAGATAACCTTAGAGAAGCTGGCCAGTCTGAGCTGAGAGGTTCTGTCTCATCCACTTTAAAACCCAGAAAAACTGAATATCATCTATTTCACATCCTGCAGAACCATATTGCCAATATACAGCTCAATTACAACACCTCAAGCTCAAGGCATTCTTCAAGGAAAAACCCCAGTCATTCTATGCTCACAGTTTTGAAAATTTGCAGCAAAGGTGGCAAGATATGATTTGCCACAAGATATTATGATTCACCATTACAAGAGAAGTTATTTATATGCAAAAGATATCTTGCAAATTGATGGTGATTATCTACAAGACTGGACTGTAATCATTATTGAGTTAATTGTCAATAAACTTTTTCAAGATATCTAAATTTTATCTTTACAATCTGATATAATATAATGTGACAATATGTGTATACAAGTATGTATATCAAACACAAAAAATATAATTTATTATATATTTGTCAACGTGGACATTAATCGGACAATTATACTGGTGTTAAGCATTTACACAAGAATTGAGGAAATGTTCTTAGAGAAAACAGACTTGCTTTATTAAGCTAGTATAATTGTCCTGTTAATGATTAATGTCCATGTTGACAAATATATAATAAATTGAATAAGGACAGTAAGGCAATAATAATTAAAAGATATAATTATTTAGAAATGTAAAAAACCACAAGAAAATTATTATTATTATTATAGTTACCTTACTATATGCCAATGCTTTAAAAGCAGCTCTTGCTTCTGCAGGTACCTCAAATTCCACTATAGCTGTTATTCCAAAAGGTGGCAAAATAACTCTTGTAACTACACCAAATTTAGAAAATAATTCATTTATGGCATCTGGTTTAGTATTTGCTGGTAAATTTTTTACTAGAATAACAGTTTTGCTGCGTTCAGCAGTTGGCTGGCCAAAAGAATCTAATTGGATTCCATGATCGAGAAGAAATTGTTTTGTTTCTGTTACTAATTCTGTCTCTCCTAAAGCCATACGTACAGCAACACTGTCTTTCGTTTCCTATTTAAAAAGTTATTTCAAATCATTAATATTTAGTACAATTGTTTCAAAGATATTAAAATTTTTAAAATTATCATCAGTAAAATATTTCTTGAAATATAATTATAAATACTTCATCTAAAACTCACTGCATCTAATATTTCAGCCTTTGTTTTGTTATATTTTTCAGCCAGAACTTCAGCAACAGCGTCAGCTCCAAGAAAAAGTGAATTCCAGTTGTGAGAACTATTTCAAAAAATATTAGTTTCAGAAAATTCTAATAAAAGAACAATATTTATATTCTTATTAACATTTTACAGAAATTAAAATAATTTTTCAGAAACTATAAAAAGAAATTGATCATTTTGTAAATAAAGTGTTCTTGCAAATTTGTAAATTTGATAAACATGAAACATGGTAAACACTTGGTAAACATGTACAGGTGTATCTTTCATTCTAAGATCAAATTTTTATTCATTTTTATATATCTAAAAGAGAGATGCATCTTATATTCACAGTCCTAAAAAAACAATCAAAAGTCATTGCAAGACATGATGCATTATACACTAATAATATACATTTGGCAATGCTGCTCAAGAGCCACATTAGTTCAAATGAACTTTGCTGATATGGAGTGTTTAATATAAACTCCTTTTTTAATGTTTAAATGATCACATTTCATGATCACATTTAATGGTGCATCACATTATTATGATGCACCATTACAAGAGAAGTTATTTATATGCAAAAGAATGTAAAAATAGTGTGCCAAACATTACATATTTTATGGCATTTGTAATATTTTTCTAAGTTGTTATTATTTAACAAAACGTAATAAAATCAAAATTACTTTAAAATTTTTCTTTCCTGAAAAGTTTGATATCAAGAATGACTAGCATCTTACAATTAAAGAAATCTATATATATAAAATTGAATTCATGTCTGTCTATCTATCCATTTGTTTGAATATCATGTGAGAATGACAAGGCTGCAAGTGACAAATGAGATTGAAAATAGTTAAAAAAGTAACTAGAGTTCTTTAAAAATTATGTGTAAAATGTAACCATATGGTAAATCATTGATGGGCAACCTTTTTCTATGTGGAGGCAACATTTAATACTTTTGAACAGATGCAGCCATCTGATTTCTTGTTTCAGTTTTTTAATAAATTCATTGTGGAAGAAACTGTTCACATATGTAACTTGTAGAAAATAATGATAGAATTGTTACTGCATACTTCCTTAAGTTGGAAAATTGATATATTTATTAATATTATATTAATATTAATATAAATAAATAAATTATAATATTAATATATTATATATTATAATATTATATAATATCGCACAAAATATTAATGCAGGTTGTATGAGGCCTAGGGACATAGGTTGCCAACTCGTAGTAAATGATGGATGCATCCAGCACATTCAACTGCTACATAACAGTTGACTATTATAATCTAGATTATCTTATCTATAACTTAAGCCTGTTTGACTTTGAGATAAATATCACTCTGTAATCACACTTTTCTGAAAACTGAACTTGTCATAAACCACAGTACTACCGCTCAAACTTCTAATGTGGTCTTGAGCAAACCTATTCAAGGCCACACTTGGGACAAGCCTAGTGGCATCATTTGGTCAAACCTGAGTATACTCGTTTACAATGTAATACATTTTTTAACAATAGACTGTGTTAATTTTGGTAAAATTTAAAAAAATCCAATGATGTCATTTGACTGACCACTTCTAGCCACTAAAACCATCTTCAAATTTTTCTTTTGCACATCAGCATAAACTGCTTTAAATTGGAGCTTGCAGCAAGAGTTTATTAAAAAATGGCAATTCACAAGCCAACAATGTTAACCAGTGATAAAAAAATCAAAATTTTTATATTTATACAGGTAAGATACTAAACACATTAGTGATTTTTTTATTTAATGAACTAATTAATGAAAATTATCACATGAGAGGTGACATCACAGTGCCTTTATTTAGTGAAGGAATCATACATTGTTGCCATATGGCAATGAAAAATAAACTTTTTACAAATAAAACGGTACACATATAAAAATGTTGTATTATTATTCATAAATAAACCAAAAGAAATAAGTTTTGTAAATGTCAGCTTAATGTTAAGCTTAACTCAGACAAAAACTTGGCCTATGGTTGCATGCAGCTATCATAAAACTTGGCCTTGAAGAGATTAAGAATACAGTAAAATTTTAATTTTCAAATGTTTTCAGTCATCTTAAACAACCAAAAATGTTTTGAGAATTAAAATTATACTGCATTTTTAAAAGTTTGAGTAGTAGTACTGTGGTTCACTCTGTGATCATCTTAGATACAATGCAGGATGGATTCAACAGATGTATATCATACATCGGATCCACATACAGATCCGTTGAAGCCAGAATATGCAACTGCAAATATGATGTGGCCAAGGGGAATTATAATACAGCCCTTGCCCAGTATGCTACCAAACCCAGGGTTTTCTCTGTTGGGATGAAGTTACTCTTATACATAAGGTTTTTGACTGGCATGACTTACGTTTGTTAGAGGCTCTAGAAATTTATATAGCGGGCATGAAGGGAGATTGTATTAACTTTGACTATATTACAGTACTGCAATCGTGGAAGTACTATTTAGATTGCCACAGAGTATAATAATAATTTTATTTGTAATTATTTATTTAATTTATGTGATGTAAAAAAAACTATTTCCGCATTGAACATTGTTTAAATGTTAAAAATGTCGGACTAACTTTTAAACTGCCACAGAACATAATTTCATTTTTAAAAAATAATTGTTTATTTAATGCAATGTAAATGTAACAATTTCTGTATCAAACATCATTTAAATGTTTAAAAATTGGAGTGCAGTGAAGTTCAAAAGTTGGAAATTTTCAAAGAATAGAACCGTTTTTGTGTTTTTTGTGCATTCGTTCCTGATGAGAGTCTCTAAAAGATGGCCGAAAATATTAAAATTTCTTTATTTATTATATGCTGAAATTTGCCATTTAGGTGTCTGTTAGTTGATTATATAGTTCCAGTTTAAGTATGCCATTTTTTGTTTAATCATCTTAGATGTCATACCATCAAGAAATTATTCAGACCTCATGATTTTTCAGGGCAAAATAAACAAATATCAGTCAAAAGAATTTAATCCTTATTTCAAGTACATAAGAGACATTATACAAAGAGATTACTTACATAAAAAGTAGGACAAGATTATAACTTTTCAAAAACTATAATATGGAATATTTTTCATGCTCAATGGACAAATATTAACAACAAACAAAAGTTTATTGTTAATATTTGTTAACAAAAAGAAGGAAGATTATTTCAAACAGAAAAAGCAAGAGTTTATTAGATCCCCTTAAATTAAATAATGAAAAGGGAAGAGAATTAAAATTGTATATAGATAGTAGCCCTAAAGACAACTGTTCAGTCAATTAGAACATTGAAAAGAGATCTGCACAAGATCTACTGCAAAAAATCTAGAGCAACAAAGCTAAATAAAAATCAACACCTTTAAACATCCCGCAAATCGTTTTTTAATATTTAAAAACGCTTTCGAACGCTTTAAGCGATCATCGTCAGTTAACATTTGTGAATCGAACTAAGAAATTCGAAAATTACGTAAAACGAAATTCAAAAAGCGGTTACATAAATATATGTAAATACGTTAACATTTACCAAGTTTAAATAATCTATTTACCAAGTTTAAATAATTTTATATGCTCAAGGTCTGCTCCGCAGACCTTGAGCATATAAAATGGCCGTTTTTCGTTCATGGATAAGGAGGGCACACACGCATTGCACCAGCGTCTGCGACACTTACAAAGAATTAGAGTATATAAAAACATGGCGATGCAGCAAGGATACTATAGAGAAAGAATAGATGCCCTCATCGCGAATTGTCGGAAGCGACTCCCCTCTCAGGGAGGGAATCAACGCAAAGAGAGAATCGTACTCAATTACATACCGTTCCTTAAAGGAATGGTTAAGAAAGTTACCAGGGATAAGGATGTACGGATAGTTTACAAACGTAATCCCACCGTATACAGGCTCTTAAGGAACGATAAAGGCAATTACGAACACAGCGCAATGGCAGGGGTGTACTCTATACCATTAAAAGACCGTAGATTTAACACCAATCTAGTGTACATAGGGGCAACCTTAAGAAACTTAAAGAAAAGGATTGCTGAACATAAGCAATCAGTCAATAAAAACATAGACTCTACGGTGCTTGCGGCCTTTGCCAAGCAGCAGAATATCGAAGTCTTTTGGGATCGGGCGTCGATCATTAAAGCCACAAAATCCAGGCAGGCTGTGAAACATCTGGAAAAACTAGAAATTCACAAGGCGCAAATGCACACAAGCTGTATTAATCATAGGGATGCTGACGGATTATCGTCGGCATGGAAATCCTTCTACGATGAGTGACGTAATTTATGTAAGCGGGAAGATTATATAAGATAATTTTTATTGGATGCATATAATTTATTTTATTTCTTTATTTAGTTTTAACTTTTATAATTCTTAAGATTATTTAAACTTGGTAAATGTTAACGTATTTACATATATTTATGTAACCGCTTTTTGAATTTCGTTTTACGTAATTTTCGAATTTCTTCGTTCGATTCACAAATGTTAACTGACGATGATCGCTTAAAGCGTTCGAAAGCGTTTTTAAATATTAAAAAACGATTTGCTGGATGTTTAAAGGTGTTGATTTTTATTTATTGTGTGGTTCCAGTAAGGAAAGTATTTTATTTAGCAACAAAGCTACCCATATACAATGGGAGCATGCACAAATATGTGATATCATTTTCAAAAATGAATTGAAAATGATACCACGGAGAAGAATAGAAAAGGTTGCAATAGCCATAAAATATATATATATATATATATATATATGATGATTAACACCAAAAAAGAAGGAAATGATCTTCGTGAGCATTGACAAAAACAAAGTATGGTAGGAATGATGAAAACAGCTCTCTTATGGGATGGCTGAAATCTTTATTGGTAATTTTTTAGTTAATATTATTTCCTTTTTATTTTGTTTTAAGCAATTCATGTTGTTTGTTCTGTTCAAATATAACATGAGAATGGCTAAATCCTTATCAGACTATAGAATGTATTTAGAGTAAATTTCAATGTGAAATTGCTTTTGGTCTGACCTATTATATTTTAAGTTCATTATACATACATATTCTTTTTCCACATATATATTTTTATATGAATGTATTACCTTTACTTAATATATCATTTTCCCAGGTATAGCTTGTTTATCTCAACTAATATGATATATAATAAAACTATAACTATTAAAAATTTGTTTATAAGCCTAATTAATTCATTTAATCATTTAAATTCCTTCATTAGTTTTCATTGTATTTATAGATTTATTATAATTATAAAAAAATTTAGCATTAAAGACAATGAAAAATTTTACAACAACAAATGTCTTAATTAATAAACTGCACTAAATAGTAACTAAAAGTCACGCTTTAATTACTAAAAATAATTAATAAAAATAGTATAATGATGATGATAAAACTTAACATTATTTTGATATTTTGAAAATCCTAACAGATAATACTAACACAAATTTAACATTTTAATTAACAACTTTAAATATATGTATAATACTATAAAAATTAATTATTACCTGTCTGACAGTTCTTTTAATTCAGATAGTTTTTTCTGCTTATAACCTTTAAATTTGAAATAATAATTAAAAATACATCATGACAAATTAAAATATTTAAGATATATCTAAATTATTTTGATCAGACCTGTTATCGTTTTTTCTTCCACCTTTTTCTGTTTAGCTGGCAATAGATGTAAATTGCGACCCTTTTGTAAAATATTTCTTCTAAATTAATGAAATTAAAAAAAAAAGTAATTATTTAAATGAAATAACTTACTTGAAAACATGAACCATCAAGCTCTGAAAAAGCTTTTGCTGCATGTTCAGGAAACATGAAAGTTATAAATGCAAAACCTTTTATTTTTCTTGTGTATCCATCTACAGGTAGATGAACTTCAGTTAAAGGACCTAAAAATTTAAAAATAATTATAAACATAATTACAAAACAAGTTAATTACAATCAAAATTATGTCAACCAACCAAATTTTTTAAATAGTTCTTCTAATTCTTCCTCTGTAACTGTGTAAGATAAATTTCGAACAAAAATTCTACCAGACTAGGGAAAAAAAAAACATTATTATAGTAATATTGCTAAGAAGATATGATATATGAGGGCTGTTTCTTTTTCAACCTCTGTTCTGATGGTCCATAAAACAAAGACAAATGCAAATAACAAAATGAATTTATTACCAAAAATTAGGTATAAACATGGTTATTTTTTTAGGTAATTATCGTGAAGATTGAATCTGTAAATGAACTTTGCAATTCCCTCTTTATAGAATGTTGTCACCAGTGAAATGAGATGGCCTCAACAACATTGTTTTGAAGATTGTCATTAGTCTCAAACCTCTGCTCTCCTAGCCACGTTTTCAGTTCAGGAAAGAGGTGAAAATCACTCAGTGTTGAATTGGGGCTATCTATACGCTGGGTGTTTAAAGATGGTGAAGACTTCCACCCATCTTGGAACTTTTTAATGTGTGAAGACTTCCTATTTCTTATCTTCATTTTATGGACCATCAGAGATTGAAAAAGAAACAGCCTTTGTACATTTAATATTATATGAAATGAACAGTTATTTATTGTGACATCATCACAATGCCAGGCTGCAATGTTTTGTCACAATGCACTGTTTAATAATATTTTGCCCCTGCACATCACACTTTTCCTGTTAACAATAAAGTCATGCCAATTATGTATCTAATTTGTTCTGGAGAAAAAATCATGTATCTCTGTTCTGGAGAAAATTTTTGAATTGAAATAATGTTACTTTAGGCCCAAATCAGAAGTTCATATATAGTTAATTAGGGTCTCCTGCCCTAATACCCCGTTTGCACCGAGCATTTCGATCTAGATTGTGACCAAGGTTGGCGACTATGCCGTGGTGCGACCTCTCTAGACTGTTTCAATCTTGACTAAAACGAGGTTCAATCATGATCGACTCAAGAGAGTTCTTGAAACTAGATCCAGTCATAGGAGTGATCCCACAATCCCATGCATGTGAGAAAATACAAGATGGCTGCGGAACACATGTCAGGCTATCAGCAGAGAAATAAAAAAGACGTCTGTCTATCATTAGATATGTGGCAAGAAAAAGTATTTACTTCTAACCAAAACTTCCATTTTGTTTGTTGGTGTTCGTGACTAACCGTGTAGTTATGTCAGTTTTATCATTGTGTGTAATAGCAGGGTTCTTCTCAAACGGATTGCCTGTGTGAATAGCTCGATGTTTATCTGGCGACAGTTACAATCCAGATTGTAGTTAAATCGAGATCGAAGTGAGTCGTGGATTGTGTGCAAACATAGTATAAGCTTTCGACATCTGGTCTTGATTTTCATGTATTTGTCACTGTTGTCACGATTAATGAAGGACAGATGGACAACAGTGGGAATTTATAGGTCTACAATTTTTTCAAATTGCAGCCTAATAAAAATAATCTTAAGGGATATTATTATTATAAAAAATTAAGTAATTCTATAAAACTTAATAGAAAATATTAAGAATCAAATATGAATGAATGTAAAATATCATAATTATAGATGTTTTATTGATCACACACAAAATTTAATACATGAAAATAATAATGATTAAAAGAGCACTAAGATAAGTCATCATTTATTGACAACTTTAAAAATTAAAAATTGAATTAAATACAAAATAAGTTCTATATTTTAGGGATTATATTTCTCACATTACTACAGATACAAATATGGAAACTGAATACAGAAGGAAGAAATACTATACAGTCGACCCCCCCTATAAGATATAGATACGTTCCAATTTATTAGGAATCCGATTTCTTACAAGTCGTTCCAATCACAGCCCGACACGTGTCAAGTTTACGGACTACGGCTGATTGAAAGGTTTTCTTCCATAAAATTAATCGATTCTACACTAATCCGACTCAACATTTCCAAAATACGTATATTTTTTCGTAGTTTTATAGAAATCGTAATTATAGGGGGGTCGACTGTACATTAAAAAATAGTTAGATGATTGAAAGTATATAATTAAAAAATAAAAACATTTTCATTTGAAGAATGTTTTCATTTATTTTATTTTAAAGTAAAATTAAAAAATAATTATTATAGCTTGCATGTATTTATTTACTCTTATAATCATAACGATATTACTGGTGTAGAATTCAATAAATAAATAAGCAATTACCTATAACCAGCATTAATTCTCTTATAAACAAACATTTTTTTCCATCTTTAACAGTCATCATCAGGTTTCAATGCTTTGGAATGTTTGTAAAAGAATGCATCTTCCAAAACTTTAAAAATTGCATATCTTGAAGATACGTACATGCTCAATGTAGCTTTTTAAAATAATGAGTCTTCAAACTGGCTTCTTATTTTAAAAATTTGATATTTATATAAATTATAAAGATAAACTTGATGACAATCTATTATACATCAAAATATGCCCTCCACACTGCTGCCAGCAAGTCTGTTTCTTTAATTAAAATTGATGGCTGTTCCCTTCTTGAATGCTTTAAATATCTCCAGCTGTTTGAGATATTTTAGGCTGGCCTGGTCCTTGCACCATTGTAGTAATCATGCATTATCAAAGTCCACCGTGATGTCATTATCAATGGCATAAGAAGCCAATGCTGTAGTGGAAAGACCTTTTTGAATGGAGTATTTATGTTCTTTGATCCTTGTTTTAAGACAACATGTGGTAGCACAAATATATTCACCAGGATGGTTTACCCTATGATTGTAAATAGGGATAGAATATACACCTGGAATATTATTTCAATCCAATTGGTCCTTATTGTTTCTTAAACAAGAGAAAACTGCTGGAATCTCCTGTAAGTGATCTTATTATTTTTAAAGTGGCTATTTGTTTGTAGGTGTTGGTAAGGATCTTGCTGTAAGTAATAGATAAAAAAGGACTTGTCTCCTCTAAGTGGTGTTTCTGCTGGTTATTCCCAATGTGCAACAAGATCATTAATTAGGTATGCAGGGTAACCATGCTGCCTAGCTACACTTGAAATATACTCCAGTTCTATTCTCCTATCTTCTGCATTCAAACAATGGGTGTAAGCCTTTCTTACTATAGGGCCTTAAAAGCAGAGATCTTGTAACCAAAAGGATCATGAGAGTTTGCATGGATGAAAAGCGGAGCATATGAAATCTTACGGAATACCTTAGTTCTTAATTGGCCATGTTGTATCATGATGTCTATATCAAGAAAGTGTACATGGTGGAATTTTGTTGTTCCACCTGCAACAAGAGGCCGTAAGCGTTATCATTGAAAGCCTTGATGAACACTGACAAGTTTGGTTTTCTTCTCCAAATAATCAACAAATCATCCACATATCTAGAGTACAACTTTATGTCATTGCTTATGCCAGGTAAGACATACTGCTCAAGTTGCCTGACCACCAACTCACAAAGTGTTCCTGAGATGGGACTACCCATGGGTACCTCTCTACTCTGAAGGAAAGTATCTCCTTCAAATACAAAAAAGGCTGTGTGACATATAAGATGTGCTAATTCTAAGATGTTGGAAATATATCTGGAAGAGTTGTTGATGTTATGAATGAGGAAGTCTCATAATTCACAAAAACATCGTTCAATATGAATGGAAGGGAACATGGACTCAAAATCACATACTATAAAGCCCGCCAAGTTGCCAAGGGCTAAACGTTCTTGGCAACTTGGAGGGCTTGGAGGGCATCTGTGAATCAATTCCACCAGACTGGACACAGTGTATGGATATTCTTCCATGTTGCTGCTTAAAAAAATTTGAGCATACACTCCATAAGAATAGATGGAGATCTTGATTTGTCGACGACAGGTGTAGTTGTTTACCAGTTTTATGGAGTTTGACAAAAGTGAACAAGCGTGGGGAAATCGGCACCAAGAGTGTTGCCCTAGTTACTTTGAGTATTCCAGCTAATGGGGAATTACTTATATGCTTTACCCTAGCTTGAATCTTCTCAGGGGTCTTAGTGCATTCAGTGTTGTGTATGTATTCATGTAAGCTGTTTCTATACGTGTTCCTTTTCATTAGTACTATGCTTCTGAATTTGTCAGCTCTCACAGTGACTATATTGTTACGATTCATCCATCCCCTTGAATTATGTATGGCTTTCCAATACCTTACTTCATCTTGTGTTTTGACTGTGTGGTTACATCAAGTGAAGAAAGCTTTTCATCGGAAATACTCCTTTTGGGTGCTGTTAAGACCCTCACCCATCCTTTCAACATCCGGTATAACTTTATTTAAATCTTCAGGAGGAGAAGGAGAAAAGAAAGGGCCTAACCTAACTGCATTAACTATGTGCGATTACTAGTCAATTTTCATAGTTCACCAATACAGAAAGCCAATGTTGTAACTTAACTCACTATCTATCATCAAAATAGTTGCCATTTGGTGGTTTTTGAATGAAGTTCATTTTGGATAATAAATCCTAAATGCAAGGGAATGTGAATACTATGGAATAAATTCTTATTATGTTTCACACAGGTGCAATTATGAGCCATTTTCCATAGTCACATATACAGCCACAAATAATGCTTTCTAAGAATCCTGGCAAACCAAATTAAATCGCATACTAAATTCTTTTGGAGTATCTAATTTATTATTTAAAGATAATATCCTAGACTGGAAGTATGGCTATACTATATTAATGGAATCAGCAATATCCTGGTCTATAAATTCTGATCAAATCAGCCTGAATCACAGTTCCTATCATCCCTGGTATTTAGAAATACTAAATATACCTTCTTTACAACCATATATAATGAAACCAATTAACTTAAATGTAAAAAGACTGGTAGCACAATTACATTTAAATAAATACTCTATTTATATTAATAATACTTATATTGATCTTTCAAATAATCATTGTCTATGGTGCAAATCTGAAGAACTTTCAATGGAACATCTACTTCTAAAATGTCAAAGACTCTCAAAAATACGTGATTCCCTCAACATTACTCAAATTCTACAAGGAGAATCATCACATGAATATAGAAAAAACTTAAATAATATGAATAAAAAAGACCTTTATAAAGTATACAACTATTTTACCAAGAGCATAAAAATGCTGGAAACTAAACTATCTAAGTAAATTCGAAATAATGATCAATCTGAACATTGTTGCATAATTGTAGAAATGCAAACAGTAATTTGTCTCTCTATTGTAAAATATGTCAAGATAAAACTAATATGTAGACTAATGTAAAACAACTATTCATTACAGATATTTTGTTAACTGATTTAATAATGTGTAATTTATTAATCTAACTATGTATTTCCCCCTGCAACAGGAAAAATTTCCTTCTGCAAATAAATAATTTTGTGAAATAATAAAATGCTTTATGAGAATCCCTGATCTAGATTAATACTTGCACTAAAATGATCAAACAAATGCTTTGTTTCTTCATAGATAACAGACCTACTCAGAACATTCTTTTATGACTGAAGATCAGTTATAACACTTAAAGTGTTTTTTATTTTTTTTGATGGTTGGATTTTTGATCATCTTTGCAATTTTTTGCTTCATGACTGGAAGATATTATCACATTTCTAATTTGTTTTTTTATAATAAACATGGTTGATTCATTATGAGAAAAGAGCAAACAATTTATAATTACTAACTCTCCCTGCAAACAATTTAGCACTTTAAATTTTATCTTGGAAGGGCATTAGTTTCATTGTTCATTTTAATATTTTGCCATTGGACCTTTTATTTAAATGATTGTTGATTTTTAAGATAAAAGCAAAACAAATAACATCTAAAATGCAATACTTTACTTTTCTATGGTATCTACTTTTCTATGGAGACTACTTTGAAGGTGATGGTGGACAATAGCCTGTACAATGAATAACTGCATGAGATGCTACCCAACAGTGAATGAAGTATGTTTGTAAAAACAAACATACTTCATTCACTGTTGGGTAGCATCTCATGCATTATTTCATAGTTTCCCATATTATTTTAGTATGTAAATTTACACAAATAATAAATGTTATGTTTTATATTGGTGAGTATTGCATTTCAGATGTTATTTGTTTTGCTTTTATCTTAAAAATCAACAATCATTTTAATATTTTGCCATTGGACCTTTTATTTAAATGATTGNTTTAAAATTATTGTAAATTTTTGTTAATTCAGTTTTCATGTATACTAAATATTCCAAAATAAAATTTCTATTAAATTGATTAAATTGGCTAGATTTACTAGAAAGTAAATAAAAATAATTATTTACTAGAAAGCCATTTATGATTACAGTAGAGTGTCAATTATTCAAAAATCAATTATACAAAATAAAAAAAAAATTGATTAACCAGAATCAACTTGATAGAATACTAATTCCAGAAATTGCAAATTTTTGACATAATAATGATTGTTAGCAATCTTTTGCATCAATCTATCTCATTATCAACACTAGTGTTAGGTTTTCTTTATTAGCATACAAAAAAAAAAAACATGAGTAATGAGTATAGGCTTTTAATACACCAAATGCATCAGCAATTGATACATTAGAAACAGCACTGACAATGATTAGAAATGCAGCCTTAAGCAATTTTTCAACTCTCATGACAATCAAGTAAGGTAGAGGTTTATCATCATTATACAAGAAAAACTATGTAAAGGAAAGCAAAATAAGTGTCTTCTTTAAAAAAAAAAACTGTAATAAATAATTTTTACGTGAGAACTATACTTTATTTAATATTAATTTACTATTATGCATTTTTTACTTTGAATTCGAAGTTTCATCAGTATGTTATAGAATGAATTAAAAGGCCAATACATGTTTAATTTATTAAAAACAATTTTTTTTTTTAATATTTCTTATAATTTATGTGTATTAAATTTCTATGTCTCTTACCAAGCCCTTTTTATTATTGTAATAGAATACTCTATTTAAGGTATTTATTTTTAAACATATTAATCTTTTTATTCTTTTTTTACCAAATGTAATCAGTTATTCCATCAAATTTCCATATCTAAAATTGTTCACCCAATTATTTTGGATAATTGACACTGTACAGCATTTGCATTGCATAAAATACTGTAAAATATGTTTTACATGATTGCACAATTTATAGGCATTTTTCTACATTTTGAATTACTTCATATCTTTATAAATTAAATAAAATTTTAAACTGTAGTTTACATTACATATCTTTATCAGATATCTGGCAATATGTCATAGAAAACAGTATGCTTTCAACATTATATTATATAAACATTCTAAATTCAGTTGTTAGATCAATTAGTTCAGCTGGAAGAATATTGGATTAGCTTTCCAACAATTTGATTCTATCAATTTACAATTGCATTTTTTCTAACAATAATAATTAAGCAATATAATTTAAAATTCCATATGAAATGCAATACTCACCAATATAAAACATAACATTTATTATTTGTGTAAATTTACATACTAAAATAATATGGGAAAACTATGTTTCCCATATTATTTTATTAGTGAATGAAGTATGTTTGTTTTTACAAACATACTTCATTCACTGTTGGGTAGCATCTCATGCAGTTATTCATTGTACAGTACATGCTATTGTCCACCATCACCTTCAAAGTAGTCTCCATAGAAAAGTAGATACCTATCCCAACATACTTCCCACAAATAGAATCAAAATGCCTTGAGAAAGTCATCACAAATGATGACTTTCTCAAGGCATTCTATACTGCTTGCAATTACTCTTGGATTTCATTTACTATCACAAATCTTCTCCCTTTCAGCTTGAGTTTAAGTTTGCGAATAGGAAAAAGTCATAGAGAGCCAAATTGGAAACAGTGTGTAAGGTGAATGAGAGATAAACATCATGCTGTTGGATGTCAAGAAATGTTACATGGTCAAAGATGTATGGGCTAGCACACTGGTGTTTTTTCAATAGTTTATTAAAAAAAAATTAATAGGAAGCATGAATGTCATTTTAGCAAAATTATCAAAATCAAGTTAATTAAGAATTTACATATAAAACACTTACTTCGCCTACATCTTCCTCTACTTGAACATAATGTCTTTCTTCCTAAAACAAATTCATTAATTAATATGTTATTTAATTCAAATTTATTTTAAGTAAAGATTTCCATAAATAATTTTAATAATATAAAAACTATGTATCTAATAAATGTTGCATGATTTATTACATATATAAATAAAAGATAAAATATTTTTATTTTATTATTGTTATATACTATAGATTATTATTATTTGGTGTTGGTAGAATATTCATAGTATATATAATAGTGCCTAGTGGCAGACCAAATTCAAAGCACAACTACAGTAAAAAAAAAAGCATTTTGTACATGCTGTTCATGTTTGTATTTTTTGTTTAAGAATTTCTTGACTATGTGACATATGTTTAGTATGGCTACCTTCTGGAGAGTGATTTATATGGTGTTGTGAAGTCCTTATGTTTCAAGACTTTTGTGTAGTGTATGTGGTATGATGTCTGTGGCAAGAAGATCAAATTCATTAACTTTTTTACAAAATTTTAAAGTTGTAGAAAATTAATGAATTTGATTTTCAAAATTTTTAACTATACATTACTAGAAGAATTAAGTAGGATTCTAATGCAAAAACTGCTTGGTTCTATCTGTTTCTGTTTTTGAAAATTTTTTTAAAAGGATTTTCCCATAGAAAAAGCATTAAATTTTTAATGTCATCTGCTGGAGATCATATACATAACCAAAGAGGTTACAATCAGCTTTAAATGGTAAATATTGTCATAAACAAAATCACTAAAAAAAAGAAAAAAAAACAGAAGTAATTAAATATTTAAAAATATTTCATTATTGTATTTGAAAGCTTTAAGAATATCTAATCTTTACAATTTTAAAATTTCTTATGCAATTAAACAAACAAATTTTTTTAAAGACTAAATAATAATTTAAAATTATTGTAAATTTTTGTTAATTCAGTTTTCATGTATACTAAATATTCCAAAATAAAATTTCTATTAAATTGATTAAATTGGCTAGATTTACTAGAAAGTAAATAAAAATAATTATTTACTAGAAAGCCATTTATGATTACAGTAGAGTGTCAATTATTCAAAAATCAATTATACAAAATAAAAAAAAAATTGATTAACCAGAATCAACTTGATAGAATACTAATTCCAGAAATTGCAAATTTTTGACATAATAATGATTGTTAGCAATCTTTTGCATCAATCTATCTCATTATCAACACTAGTGTTAGGTTTTCTTTATTAGCATACAAAAAAAAAAAACATGAGTAATGAGTATAGGCTTTTAATACACCAAATGCATCAGCAATTGATACATTAGAAACAGCACTGACAATGATTAGAAATGCAGCCTTAAGCAATTTTTCAACTCTCATGACAATCAAGTAAGGTAGAGGTTTATCATCATTATACAAGAAAAACTATGTAAAGGAAAGCAAAATAAGTGTCTTCTTTAAAAAAAAAAACTGTAATAAATAATTTTTACGTGAGAACTATACTTTATTTAATATTAATTTACTATTATGCATTTTTTACTTTGAATTCGAAGTTTCATCAGTATGTTATAGAATGAATTAAAAGGCCAATACATGTTTAATTTATTAAAAACAATTTTTTTTTTTAATATTTCTTATAATTTATGTGTATTAAATTTCTATGTCTCTTACCAAGCCCTTTTTATTATTGTAATAGAATACTCTATTTAAGGTATTTATTTTTAAACATATTAATCTTTTTATTCTTTTTTTACCAAATGTAATCAGTTATTCCATCAAATTTCCATATCTAAAATTGTTCACCCAATTATTTTGGATAATTGACACTGTACAGCATTTGCATTGCATAAAATACTGTAAAATATGTTTTACATGATTGCACAATTTATAGGCATTTTTCTACATTTTGAATTACTTCATATCTTTATAAATTAAATAAAATTTTAAACTGTAGTTTACATTACATATCTTTATCAGATATCTGGCAATATGTCATAGAAAACAGTATGCTTTCAACATTATATTATATAAACATTCTAAATTCAGTTGTTAGATCAATTAGTTCAGCTGGAAGAATACAGTCGACCCCCGTATAAGATCATTGATTATTCCGTTTTATACGAATTCCATGTTGTACAAGTCACTTAAATTTTACAAATACGTGAGCCGTTCACAGTCCGGTATACGTATTTGTAAAATCTAAGTGACTCGTACAACATGGAATTCATATAAAACGGAATAATCAATGATCTTATACGGGGGTCGACTGTATTGGATTAGCTTTCCAACAATTTGATTCTATCAATTTACAATTGCATTTTTTCTAACAATAATAATTAAGCAATATAATTTAAAATTCCATATGTAAAAGTACATTGAAAGTTGTAAACAATTTTCAATCTATTGTAATTTTAAATAATAATCAAATATATATTGAATGTACACTTAACTCACTAAAACAAAATTAATATAAAATTTCTTCTTACTTTATTGTCATCCTTAAAATGTGATTCTTTTTTAGCAACATATTTAACAACTTCAATTCTATGTCCAGCTTTAATATAAAATAAATTTTATGAGAAGAAACTTAATATAACAATTAAGTAAAATCAGCCATTTTATTTATTTTAAAATAGTATATACGGGGTGTTCAGAAATTCCCGTTACAAACTTCTAGGACTTGTAGAGGGGAGTGAGTAAATAATATTTTGATTAGGAACCCATGTTCTATCACAGTTTCAATTCAGATGTTTAACTCTTCCTCTTCTGCTGAGGGAAAGAGAAAAGTCTCAGAGTAACTTTTATGTAAGTGATAAATGGATGTTTCGTTATGTTTCCTTTCGAATAGTTACCTAATAATTGCACTGCATCACAGCTAATTCAAATTCCTCAAGCAGAAGTGAAAGAGTTAAACATCTGAATTGAAACCATCGTAGAACAGAAACAGTACGTTTCCGGACACGAGTTCCTAATCAAAATATTATGTACTCACTCCCCTCTACAAGTCCTAGAAGTTTGCAATGGGAATTTCTGAACACCCTGTATATATAAATATACAGATATATAAAGTATACTATAATATATTATATAAACCACTAATTTCCATACATACATATCTAGTATTTTTAAATAACTATTATTATTAATTTTTACTTACACAAGAAACCCCTATGTTTATTCAGAGCTTGTTTCATTTGTTTTTCTGTTTTAAATTTCACATAGGCAATACCTAAAAAGAAAAATTGTTCATGTTTTGATATATCTTGAAATCACATTAAAAATATTTAATGAAAAAATACTCTATTTTAATAAGATTATAATCCTTTATCTACTTATCGAACAAAAAATTAATTATTTATTCTGTTAAAATTATTTTTCCAGTTTGAATTATCAACATGTAATTGAGTAATTATTTTAAAAATTTGTCATAAAAGATGGCTTAATAGTCTTTTATTTTCCTCATTTCATATAAAAAATATTTTTAAGGAAAAAATTATTTATAAAGGATAACTCTATTAAATGAATATATATTTATTTATATTATATATTTTGATATGATACCTACTCTAGATATATAAAATAATTAGTTTAAAATTGTTAACACTTTTTTCCAAAAAAACAAAAAAATTGATGAATTATCACAAAATTTTTGAACAAGCGAATGAAGCAAATGAAGGGTTAGCGAGAGGAATGAGATTCACAGGGGTCCAGGGCATAAGCCCTATTATCTCTATGTAGATCTAGTATATATAGGACCTAGTCCCACTGGTGACAGACTAGGTCCTATATGGGAGAGAATAGAGCCACCCACCCCATGGGAAGTAGAGCAAAGGGAGTAATGGGAGGGTTGGTTGAAGGAAATTGGCTCCTCATGAAGGGTTGAGTCATCACAAAATTTTTCTTATGAATATCTACATTGGGAACAAGTTAGTGAAACTTATGGGGCAAGACAGTTAAATCAAATAAACAGTTTAACAAAGAAAAATAAAAATTGTGCAAAAAATATCTGTTTAAAAAAATTTCAATCCATCCCAGATAATTGTTATACCTTGTTCGCACTGAGCATTTCAATCTAGATTGTGACCAAGGTCAGTGACTATGCCATGGTGACCCTCTTGTGACCGTTTCAATCTTGACTGAAACAAGGTTCAATCGCAATTGACTCAAGAGAGTTCTTGAAACTAGATCCAGTCATAGGAGAGATCCCAAATCCCACGCATGTGAGAAAATACAAGACAGCTGCAGAACACATGTCAGGCTATCAACAGAGAAATAAAAAAGATACTTGTAGAGACGATGACATCTGTCTATTATTAGATATATGGCAAGAAAAAGTATTTATTTCTAACCAAAACTTCCATTTTGTTTGTTGGTGTTCGTGACTTAATTGCATAGTTATGTCAGTTTTATCATTGTGTGTAATAGCCGAGTTCTTGTCAAGCGGACTGCCTGCGTGAACAGCTCAATGTTTGTCTGGCAACAGTTACAATCCAGATTGTAGGTAAACTGAGATTGAAGTGAGTCATGGATTGTGTGCAAACATAGTATTATGCACTCATTTATTAAAATATAATGAAAATTTTTTTTATTTAAAATAATAAATAACTGATTAAAAAATGTTAATTATATAAGATTTTGGAGGTTTAATCACAGACATTTAGAAATGGATAAAAGTGAAAAGTTAAATAAATAATGATGACAAAATAATAAAATTCAATAAAGAGTAATAACTAGACTGTTAGAAAATTTGGCACCACATAGTAAGTGTTGGTGCCAAATTACTTAATTTCTAATTATTAATTATAGCATAATATTAGCCCAATTAATTATGGCAATTGTTTGGCTTAGTAGCAATACATCGTGTTTTGAGATGTTGATATATAGTTTAAAAATTATAAAATACAAGATCTAGCAGAAATAAATGTTTTACAAATAAAATCATTTTTAATTAGTAAACTACATTTATAATAGATGCATTTCATATTAATTTACATTTCTTAAAATTCACTTTCAATTGTTTATTTTCTAAAAATGATGCTCTTTAAGTGGACAATTATTTTCAATGCACTCGTGTAATGTGATATATTCCTCATCACTTATTTCAACATTTGAGATATATTGTGTAATCTGGATTTTGTCTCCCTGAAATTTAAATTTTGTGTAGAATACTTTTATATTTCTGTCAAAAAATTACAATGCAATGGTAAGCTTCTTTTCTGATCTGTCGACTAATATATATGCACTAAATAATTTCAAGCTAATGACTTTTTATGTTGATAAGAGCCTTCTTCATGCAATTGCTTTATCTAATGATAAACAGCAAGATGAAAAGATAGTTACATTTGTTAAGTTCTGTTAATTTATTAAGTTCTTGTAAATCCTGTCTGGATAGACAACTTCAGAAGTAAATGTCCTAATTAAATCATAGTATTTCATAGCTAACTAATGAAGAAAAAGATTCAAATCACTTTTAATTTTGCCATATGTAAGAAAAAATAATCTATGAAAGAAAAAATTATTTGGAAAACCATTTATTATTTTAACTAGATCTTGTATTTTACAATTCAAAATAATTATAAACTACATTTACCTTTAACTTTAGGAGGAAGTCTTAAACTGACTATTTTCAATGGAGTAAAAAAACCTTTAATGTCTTTCTGAACAAAAAAAATTATTAAATAATTATTATATTATATATAATTCACATATTTAAAAAAACCTCTTCCTCTTCTTACTTAAACTTAACAGAATGTGAATTTTACTTACAATGTTTACATCATTTACATTTAAATCAATTTCATTTTATATCTTTTTTTTGTAAAAGATACATAAGTTTAATTCAAAATATATGATATCCAGTTAAAATAATCATAAATACTATTAGATTAAGAAAACCAAATTTCTATTTATTAATGCTGTAATATTTTTGATGCAACTTTAGCTGTCTTCATTCCATTAAGACAGAATTAGAATTAAAACTATCTCCTTTCTGAATTACTGGAGGTAATCAAATAAAAGAAAACCTTTAACTACCAGTATACATAATTAGAATGCAAACTAAACAGCTTTATTTTGTGTGCTATTTATATTTGGATGGATAGAGTCAAAAACACTAATGTTAGTAAATAAAAATTTTATTTCCTTAATCTAATAATATTTATTCAAGAGTGTTGTTTTATTCATTTCCTTGTCAATTAGTATTGAACATAAAACTAATATTTTTGTTTAAATTTTAAATAAATATTTTAATAAAACAAAAAAATAGTAATCATATTAAATTTTATTCTATTAACTAACATTTAAACATAAATTATAAAAATAAATAATTAATAATAAATGTATTTAACTTCTTACCTTTTTACATTTGTATGGCAGATTCTTCAATTTTACTGTATACTCATCATTCATATTCTTGATTTTCTTTAAATATAGGTTAAATATTAAAATGCTTTTAATCAAATTGCATCTAGACAAACTATCATAAACAAATAAATTTATCTTGATTTAATCATATCATGCAATAGTAATTAACCGAAATATGAAAAAGTTAATATCTGGAGAAGTGTAACATTTATTGATCTGCAATATGTTAACAATGGTACATTATTTAAATTTATATTAAAAAAGGTCTTCTTATTATATACTGTAATTAGTCATATTACTTCATAATGATGATAATCTCTATTGTTTATGAATTTGCTATTAAATTTTGTTAAAAAAAAGTAAAATCATTTTGGTAATTCTATCAGTTAAATTATTACACACTAATCATCAATCCAAATATAAGCAATTTACAGTTGATAATTTTCTTGTGTTGCCAACTCTTAGCCTATGCATACAAAAAAGTATATTTTATTCTTATGTACTATTTATGATATTTTTAAAAAACTAACAGTATAAATAAGCATAAAAAGTGTTAATCCAAATACAATTCAAATACAAGTAATCAAGATGATGTGTTGATGTGCATTTTTAAAAAATATACACATCAACCTAGCAATTACAGACTGATTTAGTTAATCACTTATAAATGAAAATCTTTATTTATAATACCATATTTCTGTATCAAAAAAATTTTTTAAAATATTTTTATTTAATATATGTACCTTTTTTTCAGACTCTTTCTGAACTGAAGGCTCTGATTTATCATCATCATCCTTTTAATTCATAGATAAATAAATAAAAATATATGTGTTATAAATGATTCACAGATAAGTAGGAAAAAAAAAATCTTGATATCATAAGCTTAAAGAAAAAAAGTTATGTATTTTACAATTAATATCTCACAATTAATACATTCCATTACCTGACCTTTCCTTTCAGGCTATTTAGTTGCCAAAAAATTTCCTTAAAGCAGTGGTTTCCAGACTTTTGTGACTTGCAGCTCCTTTAACCTGCCATCATCTGGCAGCTACTCTCAATATATATAGATATCTAGAAGGGAAAACCTAGGCTTGGTAGTTTTTTGTTTTCCTATCTAAGAGTAATTGGTGTGTTGGTTTTATAATTAAATGATACAAACAAATAAAAGAAAATAATAGTTCTTTAGAAAAGAATAACTACTATATATTATATAAAATATATTTAATACAATTTTTTCATACTAGGGAGCTTGTTCCATAAACTTTGCTCATTTGTTCAAAAATTACTTGATGATTAATCAATTTCCAGTGCTGCTGTTTCTATTTTTTTTTTATGACAAAAAAAGTGTTGTGTTGATTTTAAGTTAAATACTTTATATAAATTATACAAGGTAAATGCTTCATATTCATTGACTACAACTTTTAACTCATAAGATTAACCACAAAACTAAGTAAAAATATGTACAAGAAACTATTTCTCTGCTTTTTTTTTCTGTTAACAAGGAAAGAACATAACATAATTCTGAAAAGAAAAGTATATATAAGTTTGTATTTATTTAAAATGTTCTAGTGAGATGGATCTGAAGATATACAATTTAGGCAAGCATACAAAAAATGTAATGCATAAATACTGTCAGAAATCACTAATAATTAAAATAATGGCTAACCTGATCACAGTGCCCAACTAGTTTTTGGCAGTATCCCTGGGTGTGGGAACCATTGCTTAAAACATGAGAAAATATCCTATTAAAAAATAAAACATTTTTTAAAAATCTGAGTGGAAACTAAATAGATGTCTTCTTACTTTCCATCCATACTGCTTTGGAACCATACTATAACTTGCCTGAAATTTTATAAATTATTACCATTGCCTTTCACACTGTATAAAAGTTCAAGCAATAGTATGGTTCCTATGAGATATGGATGACATTAAAATACATCTGTGGTTTCTGCCCCAAGTTGAAAAAAAAAATTTTTTTTTAATGAGATATTTTCTCATATTAAGGAAATTTTTTAAATTTTTTGGCAACCAAGAACAAGCATAAAAGGAAAGATCAGGTTGTCATAGGATGTATTCTGGAACATAAAGTTGAATAAAAAAAAAAAACATTATTATGTTTTAATTAATATAAAAATTACCATGCAGAACACTATAAATTGTTAATTTACTGTATAAATATTAACATGTATATATTATACTGGAATGAAATACAAAATACCAGTTTTATGTCTATTGAAATAAAAATTAAATTTTCTAAAAATCAAAAAATTTGAAACATGCAAAAAGAATTGAAAAAATTTGATTCACAATAAAATAGAATTGAAACAATGGTTATTTTGTATGACTGTCTTAAAAAGTTAATAATATTTCATTATTAATCATTATACTGAATTTGTATTTAACTGAACAATATAACTAGAAAAGATCATATACTAACAATTAATACAACTGACCTTAAGCATGTTGTGTACATATTTATTTCTATAATACCAGAAAGTTCAACTACTAGTTCCACTAATTCATATATTATTATTATTATTATTATTAAAATTAGTCTTTAATCAAAAATGTCTATCATACATTCTCTCAATAATGCATATTAAGCTCTTCTTGATTATATTAACATATACAGAAAATATATTTTCTAGTTTATATATTATGATTTATTGATTGGTTAATATGAACTTTTAGCATTTAAAGTTATATTATTGATCATAACTGCACCCAACTCTAGACAGAATTACTCATGACAATATAAATTAAAACAAACATTTAAAAATTTGTTTTAATCATAGGTTTACATTTGAATTAATAAATATAGCTGTAAAAATTAAAAGTGTTTATTGTATAATTTAAGTCATTATGTTTGTGAGGCTATTTTTGAAGGATTTTTCTTTCAGTTCGGAACCCCACTCCTGCTACACCAATATGTGAACCGCCGGGGAGGTTGGAGGTCTCCCTTTCCGGCGACCGGTCGTTAAACCTGCTCACTGTCAAGATGGCTTAAATGTTTCTTCTTCCCTATCCCACGGTAATGGGATTTAATTGTTCGGATCGAGTGGAGGAGGGAGGAGTGCCGTCGGTAAGGTGACAGGCAATATGAGTAAAATGAGGACACCAATTTAACAAGGAAACAATGATTTATTAGCTATCTACATAGATGGTACAATAACTATTATCGAGGGAAATTTCTGAGTCCTTAAAACGCGAAGGGCCAAGAGAAAGTTCACAAAAATTTGTTCCATACCTCTTTATGTCTTTAAATATTCTTGAGGAAAAAGGTTATGATATCCAACGGGTTCCAAACTGGTAGGATAAGGATAATAATTTCGCAGGACACAATATTCGAGGAAATTATAGTTGGCGGCTGATGAACGACTCCTCCGAGAGGGGGAAGCAAGTGGCTTTTATAGTTTCGTCGTGGGAGAATGGTCATGTGACCAATTGTTGTGAGGTAAAAGGTATGCAGATGGGTCAAAGTTGTTCCCGGGCCCATGCTAACTATCAACTTTGGAGTTGGAATGTGGGATTGTTTTCGAAATGGACGGATGTTTACTTTGAACGAAAGGGGAGATTGGAATTTTTCCCTTTTTTTAAGTTAAGTTTTAGTTTAGAATTTAAAGGAAAATTTAATTGGGGTTTAGAAAAATGTGGGATATTAATTGGAAAATTCAGTAAAAATTCCGGATTTCACATGTTCAATAATTAGATCTAGCCTAAGAATAGAATACATCATACATGTTAATGCATCAAATGTAGTTTATTTAATAACTAGAAAGCACGTGGTGCACTCATGCTGCTGATATATACATAATGTTGTCTATATTAAATTCCTTTTATGTTGTAATGTGGATTGTATGATGATCTGATGGCCAACTGGTTAAAGTATCAGCTTAGATCTCTGGGGATCCAGGAACAGATCAAAAAATTCCACGAATTTTTCAAGAAGGTGGTCTGTCCAGACATATCAGGTCTGATAAAACCCATGCTGGGCTTGATAAAAGGCCCTCTTTGAGTCCATAGAGATGAAGAGTAAAAAAAAAAAAAAATTTGAATTGTACTTGCTTTCACAACATTTAAATATTTTTATGAATATTTAGGAATAAACTAAGTTAATAAAACAATGAATTATTTCAATTAATCACATTGATTGGCTATGCATGAGATGGATATTTAGGATAAAAGACTTATAAAATTAAGAAAATAAATTATAAAAGGTAAAATAGAACTGCACTATAATGAAACTATTGATAGATGTGCTGCCATTATCATCAACCAGAATAGGAATCATTTTCATCTCAAACAAGTATAAACACAAAAGTAATTGTGAAAGTATTTAATAAATATATATCTACTATCAAAATATATGCAAATTATGTCAAAGTTTTTCAACCGAAATGTGATGTAAATACTTCAAATTCTTCACTAAATCTTCAAAGCAAGAGAAAATAACGACAGCATTTACAGTTTGCTTGAGTGTGATGTTAGTCTTGTTTTGATTGAAGAATGTAAATCATGTCTTATATGAAACTCTGAGTCTGACTGCCTGTGTGTGACATTTTTTAATCCAAGTTTTTGATTATCCAAGGTATACTCAGTCCACATTACCTTGGAAAATTAGGACAAACTGCAGTGGTTCTCAACCAGTGTGCTAAGACAAACTGATATTCCACAAACTTCTCATGGGATGTCATGAAATTTCATAAATTCATTTAAAATATTTTTTGTCTGTTTTTTGATATTATTTGTATATTTTTATATAAAACATTTAAACAAAACACAATATTAAATATCTACGCATATAAACACTATTCAAAAAGATTAAGAACCACTGCTCTACTGTTTATATAAATAAAATAATTTTTAGCTTACGACGTATTCTGGAACATAAAGTTGAATAAAAAAAAAAAACATTATTATGTTTTAATTAATATAAAAATTACCATGCAGAACACTATAAATTGTTAATTTACTGTATAAATATTAACATGTATATATTATACTGGAATGAAATACAAAATACCAGTTTTATGTCTATTGAAATAAAAATTAAATTTTCTAAAAATCAAAAAATTTGAAACATGCAAAAAGAATTGAAAAAATTTGATTCACAATAAAATAGAATTGAAACAATGGTTATTTTGTATGACTGTCTTAAAAAGTTAATAATATNTTATTAATTATAGCATAATATTAGCCCAATTAATTATGGCAATCATTTGGCTCGAACATTAGAAATATTCGGGATAAAAATACTAATTCTTTTAAAATTCTATTAGAATTAGTATTAGTATTTTTATCCCTAAAAAGAATTTATTATCTTATGGCTTTCATGGTTTCTCTTGGAAATGAGCAGAAGTCTGTAATCTGCCTTATGAGATACCATCCCAAACCATAAAGATGCCTTCACAATAGATGTTCCTTTCACAAATGTTAGAAGGCTGGTAGCACATCCCTCGTTCTCTCCAGATCAGAATATAAAGCCTCTAATCTTCTGATGACTCTCCATTGCAATTCATATGGTAAATAATAAACAAATTTCCTATTTCAGAAAATATTTTTACACAATCAGAACACCTAATTAAGGAACATCTGAAAACAGCTCTTTTTATGATGGAACTCATTTGTACAAATCTATTACTGTGTCACTTATTTGTTGTTCTCATATCCTCTTTTAACAATGTAACACATCCTAGTTTAATGCATTTTTGATGTGTTGTAAAAAACTATACTTTTTTATATTTTCCTTAATTTACAGAAACAATTAGAAACTATGCCAGGATAAAATTTTTGTGAATATAAAATTTTATGTATTAATTAAAAATAAAATATCATTTTCATTTAATATTTTTAGTAATTTAAATTAAAATACAGTCAAACCTTGATTTTCAAATGACTCACTTTTTAAACAAATTGGTTCATGAATTACATTAACATCAATGAAAAATTAACGAACCAAGAAATGTGACTTCTAACCTGAAGTGACCAGTTATGGTTTGACTGTATTTTTAAAATTTAAAACACCATCACAATCTTCTATAAATATAACATTTCTTATTTTATAATTAATTACCTGTTTCATCTTCTGAATCACTTGGTAATGAGATATTATTTGGTGTAAATTCTTCAGTATCATTACTCCAGAATTTTTTTTTGTTTTTGTGTAGTTGTATAAATTCAGAAAATTCTTTATCATCTTTGACCTAATAAAAATTTAAAAATCACTCAAAATACATATAATTGTCAAAAAATGAATACAGTTAAAATATTAACAATAAAATTTTGGAAAGAATAATAATGACTTTTTCTCACTGAAATTTTTTCTTAAATGCTAAAGAAACAATTGTTTAGGAAGAAAAGTCTATTAGGATTAAAATGCATGAAATGAATCAAATAGGATTTTTCTGTCCAAATACTCTTTTATTTCAATTGTGTCAATATATAGTAGAATTTGAATCTGTACCATTTCATAAAAATATTAAATTTCTAACCATTAAATGTCTATTTTCTAAATAAATTGTTCAAGATTAATCTGAAACTAGTTTATTCATATAATAATACCATGAGTTACTCTTTCTATATTATAGGGCTTATAAACAAATAATTTTGATTAAGAATTTTTACTAGTTTCACTAGTTAAATGTCTTTCTCAAATGGTTTAGTTTGATTTGATCTAAAGGGATAAGGCAATCTGATTTATCAATTAAATAGAAGCCCATTTAACTGTTCCTATTTAGCTGTTAAATGCATATAACAAAACCCAGAAACTCTACATGGCCAGTTCATTGATCAGGTATCAACCTGAGACCATCCACCAGTATTCAGTATGCTTGAAAACTTTTTGATTTGCTTTTATATTAATTGTGTTGCAAAATGAGTTAAACCAGCATATTTCTACAAGCTAGGGAGAGCTGTCCAAAGTTGGTGGACTTTTTATGCTAATATTTCTTCTTTTGTGAGTCAAATGCAATGTTATTTCTTTTTTACCAACTTATAAAAAGAATCATGTCAAATTTGTAAAGAAAGTTCCTGCTTAAATGTCTTTCATTTATTAGCTCACTGTAAATTAGTTAATTTAAGACAATAATTTTTGGTAGTGAATTTTCGACTAAAAAATTATTCAAAAGAATTATATGTAATAAATTACTTTGTTTTATGCATTAAGATAGGTAAACTTTTAGTTTCTGATTAGGTGGAGCTGTCATATGACATATCTACTGTATATGCTGTTGTCACTTGATTGTATGCTAATATTTCTTCATTTGTAGGAATGTTTTTTGTTCCTTGTTTTTCTTATTTTTGGATATATAGCTTCAATTTTAATTTTAATTATATGTTTTAAAGAATCACAAGTTTAATTGTATTTTTGATTATGTGTATTGTTGGGTTTAATTCTGTAATTGGTTCATGATGGATTATATTTGGTTAAAGCAATTTTGTCTACCTATGGTTATTTTTTGTAATATGTTCAAGGCCAAGGATGTATCCAGGCCAATATCCAGGATGTTTAAATAAATAAATATTTTCCCAAGCCACACATTCATTATATTTAAAGAGCCATTGGTAAGCTACAAAATTGAAATTGCAATTAATAACTTGAGTGCTTGGCAGTTGACATCATCTTCAATTCCTTCTTTTACAATTTACAAAAATCAAGAAAATTTATGGAACATATATTTGAGAAAATCATAACTATCAAAATGGGAATATTGTATCTACATAGCATAATATCTTTTGGAAGAATTAATTGACCATAAAACAAATTCATCTTTATTATATTCAATACAGAAATGGTTCAGACAAAATTAATATTAAACACAACATTGAATGGTAATCATTGTAATTTATGAATTACTGCATAAAAATTTTTATAATTTGATGTCAACTTTCACACAACTTGATGTTTTTAATAAAGAGAAGTAAATAAAATTTAAATTTTACCTCTTCTAACATTTCTTCAAATACTGATTTGGCTTTTTCATTATTCACATTTTTATTTGCTTTAGTTTTTTCTTTCTATATGTAAAGAAAAAATTAATTTATATTAAAATAAATTATTAAAAAATAAAGCATAAAACATGCTTAAAATATTAAAAAATTCTACATTGCAATAAACTTCTTCAAATTATATATACTTAATAAAATTTTTTATTAAGTAACTTATTAAAACCAATAATATTACTATGTTATAAGCAAAAACAATTTAAACTGAATATTAATGAATATAAAGAGTTTTGAAATTTAATTTATGCACAATTTCTTTACATATATTAAATAAAGAAGAAGTTTAAATTCTTGATTTAGTGCAATGTATGATTAGTTTATAAGTTTGTTAATTGAAATCACAGTTATATTAATTAAAAATTTATATTGTATATACTTTGCTTGATTTAACATCAATAACTTCAAAATTATTCTGTTGAACAGAATTATCTTTAGAATATTTACTCCAAGCTTTGGGTTTATTTGTATCACCTAAATCACAGCAAAATTCAACCTGAAAAATAATAATATTATAAATTATAAACTAATTATATATTTTATTATAATAATAACATATTTTTTACAAATAAATTTTAATTAAAAATATTGCAAAGAAGAGGCTGTCCACAAATTACAAGGTCTGTTCAAAAAGTATCGAACCTTTGGTCGGTAAAAATAAATTTATTGACTTTGAGGTACAAAACCCTAATCCCCTTCAAAGTAGTCTCCTTGGTAATGTATATACTTCTCCCAGCGTTCCTGCCATTGCTGGAAACACTGCTGGAACGCATCTTTTGGAATGGCCATCAGCCGCTCCGTCGGATTTTGCACAATGTCTTCTCTCGACTAAATTCGGGTTCCTTTTAGCGGCATTTTCAGCTTGGGAAATAGCCAAAGGTCACACGGAGCCATATGGGGAGAGTATGGAGTGTGACGAACCACAGGAGTGTTATGTTTGGCGACGAAAGCCCGAATCAGATGCGCAGAATGGGCGGATGCGTTATCACGATGGAGCTGCCAAGTTTTGATCGACCACAGATCCGGTCGTTTGCGTCGCACTGTATCGGAAAGACGACGAAGGACCTCCTGGTAGTACTCCTTTGCGATGGTTTGGCCTTGTGGTGCGTACTCACGACACACCACCCCACGAGAGTCGAAAAAACTGTCAACATGACCTTTGATATTGCTGCGGACCTGCCGCGCTTTTTTTGGCCTCGAGGATCGTCCCCGAAAGCCTGCTGAATCTTGCGAATGGTTTACGCTCGGGTATCGCCAAGGTTTTTGGCAAAATTTGATGTAATATCGCTGCTCACGTTGTTCAGTCATTTTCCAGCTTAGTGGAATCCGACGAGAGCGCACTACATGACCTCACTCATAGGCCGATTGCCAACGACTGACGCTTCCTGCAGGCGGGAAAAAATTCAGGGTTGTGCATGACTGTCTCCTCCACAACTCCACCGAAGGAGGCCTGTTGCGCATCATTGGTTTACGCGGAAAAAAAAAAGGTCCAATACTTTTTGAACAGACCTTGTATGTATGCATTTTTCTTGAAATTTGTACTCCCCCTTTTTATCCCAGTTTGTCCAAGTTTCTGTAACCCCTTTCCTCTTTGGACATCCAACAAAACTCCCTTTAAAACTTTGTAAATGATAGATGTCATAAGTAGAAACAAAACATACAAGAAATTTTGAAATAAATATAATAAAATGCATAAACTGTATAAAATTTAATGAAATAAACCAGATGTCCAATAAAGATCAACCTCCCCCCTCCCCCTTGTACAACTTTGTCCAACTTGTATCCCTCCTCTCCCCTCTAGTGTGAATGTCATTTATGGACAGCCCCTAATTGAATTTAAAGCATATCCTTATTTCTTTAAATAAATTTTATTCAATAAATATATAATATAATCAACAGACCCAAATAAAATTGTGAAAGAAATAAAAGTCAATTTTAAGTAACATTGTTCAATCATTTTAAATCATTTTCAATAATTTAATGTTTAAATATTACATATAAGGACCTAATAAAAATAATTCTAGAAAATTCTAGATATTATCCAATAAAAAGAAAATTTTACTTTTACTAAGCTTATGCTAGTTAACTCTTGACTTGATAATCTTTTTAATTCAAAAATTTTGGTGAACACAAAAGAATAACAACTCTAGATCAGATGTGGAACTAATTTCTAATCCAAAGTTGTTAACTCACAATAAAACTCAGTGAATGTAGATATTAGTGAACATAAATCATTCCTTAAAATTCATCCAAAATTCAAATCATCATCCAAATTACAAAAAAAAAAAAAAAAANAAATTTGTTTTTTGAAACCATGTCCTGTTTTATAATTGTGGTGTAGTAAACACTCAATAAAGGAATTTGATGGAAAACTTGCCATGTGTCTTTGGAATAAAACACAATACTAGTGTTTACTATGCCACAATTATAAAATTAAATGTTGAACTTATTATATACATTAATAATGGTCTCTAATAAATATAATATCTGATTTATAAATGAAACCTATAAATCAATAACAAGTTTGTTTGTTCTTTTTTATTCTGAACTCTCATTTCAGTCAATAAATGCTAATAATTCAAAATAAATAAAATCAGATAACATATATAATCTATCTTATCCCAATTATAGTATATGGAAAATCAAAAATTTAAACAATCAAACCCACTAAAGTATGCACTTCCGCATTTTATATGTCATAGCATTCATTTCTGAATGGATAATTTATAGGACTGTACTCTGCTTTTGCCTGCTGCTCATCCTTTTTGGATTATGAGCATGAGGGTATGTATGTATTTATATATTTTCTCACTCATCAGTACTTTTCTGTTAATGGGATGCCAGTTGTAATTGTAATCCAATGCGCAATGCCATCATCTTATTGACATAACAGAAAAGAGAATAAGTGAAGTAGATTTAATAATACACAAAATAATTAAAGCTTGAAAAAAAATCACAATGTTTTTGGCAACGTTAAATGAAATCTGCAGCTTTATGCCTCCCATATAATGTGGAGAATACTATTTGTAAGTTTTTTATTTGTTAATTTCTATACTTGTCCATGTTTCTTGAATGTACTGTACTTTACATATAATAAAATAGCCATTTCTTTAAACGGTGCTGTATATATCAACTGGCATCCCATTAATAGAGAAGTACCCATCCATCTCTACTACAATTTATTTCTGAATGTATTTGAAAATACAGCAGATACATCTAATTATCCAAAGGAATATTTTTGAATAGAGCGTAACCAAGTAGATTTTGATTTTATGCAAATTACATTTTAATTCATGCGTAATGGTAATTTTATCCAATTTTTTACATTATTTCTTATAATAAAATTAAAGTTTTAAATTTTAACAGGAATACATAATATATTGGAATGATTTAATACATTATATTTTAATGATGAGACTTACAGATGTGTCACCATCTAAAAATAAACACACGTAGTTCTGGTAACTCCATCTGTTGGAAAACAGCGAGAACTTATTCAAGGTCCTTATATTATATTATATTAATTGTTATATAGAAAATTCTGATATCATCAAAACATGAAAATAAATCTGTCTATTTAATATTGACAATTTCCCCAATGCACCAAGATTTTGAAGTGGTAAGAATTTGAAGTAAGAGTAGATTGTATGATATAAAATCAGCTGAATAAGAAGCTGATAAGAAATTAATTCACATGAATCATTTATAAATGATTATAGAATAACCATTCTATAGTCACTTATATTGTCACTAAGCAGATTTTTTTGGTTGGACCTTTGTTCAAAGGAAGAAGGCTTATGCCAATGTAAAAAAAACTGTTTAAACAAGTATTGCTCATGGAACTATTCCATCTCTAAACCTTTTCAAAACACAACAATCATTGTTTTTTCCCCCCTTTCCAGTATAATCTTTTGTTCATTTTTTGTGTTAACCAATTTATTTAGCTAATTTTGTTAATTAATAAATTAGTTTTTTTATGTTCCTAAGAAGACTGTCATTTATTCTATCCATAAAAACACATTGAAAAAAATATAAACAACTTAGAAACTGGCTTATAATATAAAACATCCATCAAACACCAAAATGTTCATTTTACATTAAATTTATATTTTCAAATGCTGGAATTTTATAATTTAAACAAATTCATTTTCACTTACTGAAATTTTTGAAGTATCGAGAAAAGTATTATGAAAATAATGAACAGCAGCCTCTGCTTCTTCTTTTTCTTTAAATCCAATAAATGCAAATTGTCGAAAGATTCCTTGTTTTGTATATTTTAACTGTAAATCAGTAATCTGGCCCTTGGATGAAAATACTTCTCTTAAACGATCTGCAGTAATCTATAAGAATTACAATAAAATAAAAAATTTGAAGAATACTTTTAAAATTTTGTATTATTGTTAGATTTTTATTTTTATAGAAAATATAATATTTTTTATGCAATATCTAAGAATTGACTTTCTTAAAATTAATAAATAAAGTTTTACAGAAAACATCTTAATTATAAAGTATTTAAATTTAATTCGTGGAATTAACTTAGTTCAGTTATTACTTCTCAAACTACCATGATATTCTTTTCTGTACTCAGCTCCTTCATAATTTTATGATATTTTAAAAAATTTAAATTAAACATTTATTAATATATTGCTTATTTATTCAATAAATATATGATATACAGTCAAATTGCAATATGGCACTTTCCTGAATAGCACCATCCTTGTAAACAAATCCCTATAAATATTAAATAAAGAATCCTTCAGTATCTGTAATTCAAAATTCAAATTCAAATGATATATTATTACAAATCATGTAACTTTAAACTCTCAAATTCATATGTAAATAATTTTTTTATTTGAGGCTCTTCAGTTTAGCATCACACACAATTTAATATCATTTCAAAAATGAACAAATGGAGCAACAAATTAATGTTTGATTATAATTTAATTCATTCTTTTTGCATAACCTTATTTTACTTTTTTATTTTCTTTCTTGTATCTTACAAATCTAATCAAAAATAAATATTAATAAAACAAATGATGATAACATTTAAAGTCAAAGAAATTAACCAAAATTGGAAACAATTAACAAATAAATCACCATGATATTCTAGCAAAGTTCAGTTTAAGAAAACTAATGTTTTTGGCCATACTTTAATGGTCACATTATATGGGAGGATAGGTCATTTTTGATTGCATAAAAATTTCATGGAATGTAATCATAAAATTTTTGTACATTTATTCTAATTAAAAAAACGAGCTACCATGCTAAATGCTTTATTTTTGAATTATGTTTTTCTGTTTATACATTCTAAAGCCGTAACTGATGATTACCATTAAAGTATGGTTGAAAACAGTATTTCTCTTCAATTGAGCCTTGATACAATATCATGATGGTTTGTTTATGAATTATAAATAGCATTAACTTCAGAAGCAATTTGCAATATTATTTTGAAAAAATTTAAGATATTAAGTTCAACATTTAATTTTATAATCAAGAGAAAAGAATTTTTATAATTTTACAATTATAAAAATTCTTTTCTCTTGATTATAAAATTAAATTTGTTTTTTGAAACCATGTCCTGTTTTATAATTGTGGTGTAGTAAACACTCAATAAAGGAATTTGATGGAAAACTTGCCATGTGTCTTTGGAATAAAACACAATACTAGTGTTTACTATGCCACAATTATAAAATTAAATGTTGAACTTATTATATACATTAATAATGGTCTCTAATAAATATAATATCTGATTTATAAATGAAACCTATAAATCAATAACAAGTTTGTTTGTTCTTTTTTATTCTGAACTCTCATTTCAGTCAATAAATGCTAATAATTCAAAATAAATAAAATCAGATAACATATATAATCTATCTTATCCCAATTATAGTATATGGAAAATCAAAAATTTAAACAATCAAACCCACTAAAGTATGCACTTCCGCATTTTATATGTCATAGCATTCATTTCTGAATGGATAATTTATAGGACTGTACTCTGCTTTTGCCTGCTGCTCATCCTTTTTGGATTATGAGCATGAGGGTATGTATGTATTTATATATTTTCTCACTCATCAGTACTTTTCTGTTAATGGGATGCCAGTTGTAATTGTAATCCAATGCGCAATGCCATCATCTTATTGACATAACAGAAAAGAGAATAAGTGAAGTAGATTTAATAATACACAAAATAATTAAAGCTTGAAAAAAAATCACAATGTTTTTGGCAACGTTAAATGAAATCTGCAGCTTTATGCCTCCCATATAATGTGGAGAATACTATTTGTAAGTTTTTTATTTGTTAATTTCTATACTTGTCCATGTTTCTTGAATGTACTGTACTTTACATATAATAAAATAGCCATTTCTTTAAACGGTGCTGTATATATCAACTGGCATCCCATTAATAGAGAAGTACCCATCCATCTCTACTACAATTTATTTCTGAATGTATTTGAAAATACAGCAGATACATCTAATTATCCAAAGGAATATTTTTGAATAGAGCGTAACCAAGTAGATTTTGATTTTATGCAAATTACATTTTAATTCATGCGTAATGGTAATTTTATCCAATTTTTTACATTATTTCTTATAATAAAATTAAAGTTTTAAATTTTAACAGGAATACATAATATATTGGAATGATTTAATACATTATATTTTAATGATGAGAACAGATTATCATTTACAGAAACTATCTTAATAAGCATTCATATTCAAAATTAAATAACTATATCACATTAAAAATTAAAAAAGGAACTTACTCGTTTTGGCAAATTCTTCACAATTACACGTGACATATTTCAAAATACGCGATTAAAATATAACTAAAATTTACTACTTTTCCACGTGTGAACTTAAACTTCAGGTAAACACTAGAACGAATAAGTGTTGCCATCTTACTTAATATGAAATATCATAATAACCGTTAAAAATAGACATATTTATATTATACAATATTATAATAAAATTATTACATTATATATATAATTTAAGAATCTCGAAAACAAATTAGATTTTATTATAAAATATTATAATTATACGAAATTTAAAAAATTTTAATTATTTTTTTTTGTTATAAATTAAAATTTGACAATTCATTACAGTTATTATTTTTAAATTTGTTTCCATTTTTAATGTAAAATAATAAATTAGTCTTTTCATTTTTCACTTCGTGGGCACTAAAAGGGCCTTCTTTTGGGAAGCCGATTGGGAGACCCACAATGGGACGGCCGGATCTTCAGGAGCGGTGCCTGACATACAACATTTAGGTAGACGCACTACTTCGAAAAGTTCCTGGGGTTTTCCAATCCGTCTATATTTGATTCCTGGCCCCTCCAGGAATCAAATATAGAATGGGTTGCGTTTTTAACTACTCTGTCATCCGGCCAACAAGAAATTGAACTACCAGAAGGACGAATTTATCATGTATCAGGACGGCACAACTTTAGAATTTGTTGAATTTGTTTCTGCTGACAATGGAATGCCCGGAGAGATGTCTTTCCGTGTTTACGATAGCGACCTCCTAGTACGAACTTTTTCGAAGGATATATATAACATCATTGACGATTCTTTGGTTAAGACAGGGGTCACCAAACTTTTTTTTTCACAGCGGGCCAGATAATAATCAACATACTGTATTTATTTATAAAATATTTTTTTTGTGTATTTTAAAGACAACAAACATATTTATTTACCAAAAGTTATTAAAAAAGGCGACGTTAGCAATAAGATAGTTTAAAACAGGGCAATGCAAGTTAAAACACGTTCGCTCAGCAGACTCGTAATCGCTTTACTTAGAAACTTCATTGCAGGTTCACTTACACAAAATGCGTTCTGATAGCCAAAGTCGCAAAAAGTCGCCGAATCTTTTAATTTTACCGATTTTCCTAAAATTATATTGCTGTCAGATGCAAAAATCAGATTAGACAGATTTGGACATTTTTACTTACACTTATTTTTATCATTTTTTGCTTAGTAAATTATCTACAATCTATATTTTCTTATAAATACAGTAATTATATTTTAGCTCATTTGTGTCGTAATGCGATGGCGGGCCGTAGTTTGGTGACCTCTGGGTTAGACGGTCGGATGGCCGAGAGGTTAATATGGCGGTCTACCGCTCTGGAGGACCCGGAATCGAATTCAGACGGTTGAAAAATCCCGAGTAATTTTTCGGGGTGGTCCAACAGGATACGTCGGCCCTCGTTCGTCATTATTCGGCCTGTGAGTCTAGCCGAACCCATAATGGGCTTGCTAAATGTGGCTCTCTTACTGTCCACAGGGCGGAAAGAGTAAGAAAAAAGACCTCTGGGTTAAGCAGATAAACGTCTTCAAAGGTGCCTATTGAAATGCCACAATGTCAACTGCAAAGTGGGTGGTTTTGTATAACAATGTAGAGGTATATAGGAAGAAGGTCCCTGTGGAAACTATTGACGGATCAATAGCGTAGGTAGGGATGGACAGAGGGGGCGATCCGCCCCGAGCGGCACTTTTTTGGGCGGCATTTTTGGCATTAAAATTTTTGTTAAACACTTTTGTTTAATAATAATAATAAGAAGAATAAAATTATTTATAAATATTATTATTTGTAAATAAAAGAAAAAATTATGTTTTCTTAAAGTTAATTTTCAAACTTTGTCTAAATAGATTTGAAGTGTATTATGTATAACCCAAAAAGAGAACGTCTGTTGACAGATCTCGCCGGGCGGCTCAAACTGTAGTAACGCTACTGAGACGGATGGATGAAACCAGTCAAATTGAATTATGTTTCGGATGGATTCTCAGAACAGAGAATCTGTAAGATCCTGGAGATTACCTCAAGGTTGTGAACTGCTTTTCTTGTATTCGCGCCGGTACGCGTTCGTTGTTTACCGAGAAGAAAGTGTTATTCACCCAAAAGAAAAACGTAACTTTTTAGCTGTTTCCGGTACTATTACACATGTCTATTAAGCAGAGACAAACAGATTGTCTGGGATGCTTTAAACTGGGGCCTATGGCAAAAATGTGTTTGGAGGTTACGTACTTTCAGTGTGGCAATAAAAGTTACTGGAAGAATCTGTCAGAGGACGACAGGGAAGAGGACTAACGATGTACCGGCAAAACTAATAGCAGGAGAAGCGGATCGAGATTAGAAAGGAATGTCTGAAGTGGTGGACTGTGAGACATGTAAGCACAGTGAATGTAGAAATGGAAAGTCTGGTGGCGAAGTAGGAGGATAGCTCCGTTTCAGAGGATGTCTCGACAGAATTCGGAGAAGTGAAGGTTGTCGGAAGTAAGGAATTCTTAGAGTCTTTTCTGTTTCTTTCGAAATCAATCATACTGAATAAAACACGATGATATTTATTTTGCAATATTGCATATTGTACTCGCATTTATTTATTTTTTTTATAATTAAGGACAATTCAAAATTGTGTAAGATTTTGTGTAAAAATTATGAAAAAAAAAAAAAAACAAAATTTGTTCGGATTAAGTAAGTTTAGATAAGTGAGAATGCACTGTATATACCCGAATATGCACTTATATACCCGAATATAAATGGAAACTTAAAATGGAATCCCATGATGAAAAATTGTCGGAATTTAAGCTGTGTAAGAAATAACCTTACTGAAGAGGCCGATATTGTTGGCGAAATGCATTTAGGGGATGTACCAAAATAATAAAAGCGTTTCTCTCTTTCTCTTTGCAAAGTTGGTTTGTTTTTACCTTTTTAACTTTATTATCTTTAATTTAAGTGAATTACCATTTTCCCAAATTGGACTACTCGAATTTTGACTCACGAATTATGTCTACCCACGAATTTGGACTATCCTGAATTATGTCTATCCTCGAATTTGGACTATCCTGAATTATGTCTATCCTCGAATTTGGACTATCCTGAATTATGTCTATCCTCGAATTTGACTCCTGACTTATGTCTGCACTCGAATTTGGACTCTCCCGAATATGTTTGTGCTCAAATTTGTCTCCTAAATTGTATTTTCTCTCGAATTTGGACTCTTAAATTGTCTCTTGGAATTGTATCCATTGCTTACTTCGTCATATTAATTTACTCAATATCCGAAGAATGCCGGGAACACGAAAAGATGATGTGTTAATACAAAAAAATGAAGACGGATTATTTCCGAAATTTCTCGTGAAGTACGCGGTTTTCGACAGAAAAATTGCGTTGAATGAAACTGTAAGTGGCATTATTATTAAGGGAATACAAATTTAAATAAATGTCGTTAAGCATTGTTTATCGCTTCCAGGATCGTAAAGTTTTATTAAGATATACTTGGAGAACTCGACAGAATTGTGATTTACATAAAACAGATTCTGAACTAATCGAATTAAACACAGAAGCAACACAGTTGCAGAAGAATTCAAATCAATTTAGGATTTCTACAAGATATTCGGTGGCAAAGCTTGGTATTGGATCAATTCGAGAATTTCTAAATTTATCATTTCCGTATGAAGAATAATTGGTGAATAATATAAATATAATTACTAAGAAACGTCGTAACAATTGAATTGTTGTTGTAAACTATTTTATTTCTGTAATAAAGTTTCTCGTTTGATTTGGCATCGGGTTATTTAAAAATCACTAGAAATTGTCACCTTTCAAATTGTGCACAACTCGGTTTAATCGACTTTAATTCCTTGAATTAACCGTTGGTTTTTATATCAGGTGATAAGAGAAACTCCTGAATTGTGTGGCACGGCATTTGCCAATGCAAGGGAATCATTTACTTTTACATTCGAGTCAATGGAAACGTTTCGCTTTGCTAACCAGAAATGGGAATAAATGAGCACGTATTTTAAATAGAATAATAGGACTAATGGGAATTGTATCTTAAACAATGCAATTATTGTTTTTACGTGGGTGATTCTGCTTGGCGTTAGAGTTCCCACTTGGTGTAACAATATTAAAGTGGGCGATGGGGGCGTTTAAATTATCCAAGGGGGCGTTAGGAATGATAGGAGGATCCCTGTGTACACAGAACAGGGGACGTTACTACTAACAGACACAACCAAGAGGGCGGTAATCCAAAAAACAGTTCGAGAAGCACTGGTTTATGCGGCGAAAGTTCGAATGTTAAGAGATTTACTAGCCACTTCGAGGGATGGGAACGCCCCGTTACAAACGCCCGTTCATACGCAGTTTTAAACCAATAAACCAATTCTTATTTATTAATACAAGTATATTTGAAGAACACATCAGTGTCTAAAGCAGCAGTCACGTGATAAATCGAAGACAAATGGACAATGCAGGAGCCATTTTAGCAGGGTCAAAGATGTACAAGATTATAACAAGGAATAGCCAAAAAATAAAATATATCCTTATTTTATTAAGATTCTAGCGACTTCCAATGGGGTCGAACCCCACGGGGATCAATCAAGTTTTATTGAAACAGAAACAATAGTATATTACAGACCTAAATTTTTTTTCTTCATCTACTTTTAGATGGAGAAAATTATCTCCAGTATTTCAGTCAACAGGAAAACTTATAAAAGATCTTCCTAATACTCGATGGTCGGCTCGGGCTGACTCTATTGACTTTTTGTATGAAGGATATGATAAAATCTTTGAGATATTAAAAGAAATACCAGAAATTGACACACAATCTAACAATACGAAGTTAGAAGCTAAGTAATGAAGCACATATCAAAGTTTTTATGAAGCACATATCAAAATTTAATATTTCTTGATTGTCACTTGGCGTGATATTTTAAATCGTATACACGAGACAAACAAAAATTTACAAAAGGAACGTTTAGACTTGAGTATAGCAGTTCGCCTGCTAAATTATTTGGAATCATATTTATTTGATAAAAGAGAAGATTTTAATGATTTTTTTGAAAAAGTAAAATCTTTCTAAAAAATTTCAATTGATTTTTCAGAACCAAGAATCAGAGAAAGAAGTGTAAGATTATCACGTTACGATGGATCGAGAGAAAACACTCAGCATACTCCCGAAGAAAAAATAAAGATTGAAATATTTTTACCAATTATCGACTCTCTTTGTTCAAATTTACGTAAAAGGGTAACTGTTTATGAAAAAACTAATAATAATTTTCAGTTTTTTTACTTCACTTCAAAATATGAAGAAAGGTGAAATAAAAGATTCTTGTGAGAACTTCGCAAAAACTTATGATAAAGGTGTTCGTGGCAAAAAATTTAGTGGACGAATGCATTCATTTTAAACATTATCTAAACGAAGTCGGTAAAGAAAATACACTATGTCAATCTCAGATATGTATTTTTTAATAAAGCAGGATTTGCTATCGTGTACTGTACATTTCCTAGTGTAGAGATCAGTCTTAGAATATTTTAAACTTTAATGATTACAAATTGTTCTGGTAAACGTTCATTTTCTATTTTGAAATTGATAAAAAAAAATGATCATCGTAATACGATGTCTCAATCGAGATTAATTAAATAATCTTTCTATTATGAATATAGAATCGGATATAATTAATAAAGTAAATTTCGATAAATTAATTATGAATTTCACAGCAGCAAAATGTCGAAGAAAAATTTTGTAAGTTTGCTTAGTTTTAAGATCATTTTTAACTACGTATAGGAGAAATAAAGTAATAATTGATTTGTTTATTTCAATTAACCTATTTTTTATTTGTAATTTTATTACTTATTTTTTTTTTCAATTTTATATTAAACAGTATACATTAATATAGTTTCAATACGTAATGATATACAGTATTTATGATTATTTCAATTTATATTAATCATTCATTCCAAATAGATTTCTGTTTTATTATATTTCAGCATTTTCTCCGATTTCTTCACTGCTATCGTTTACATCAAACACGACGGTGTCTTCTAATTCCTAAAAGAGGAAATTATTTCAAAATCTCACAGGAAAAAAAAAATTCAAAACTCAATTAAAATAATAATAAAATTAATAATTAATAATATACTAACGTCACGACGATCGTAGAGACACGCGTAAACCTATCAGAAATAAAAGAACACATGTATAATTGCATATATGAATTTATAATTGGACTAGAATTATTAATTTTTGATAAATTATATATGTTATGAAATTTTAAATAGTTTAATTATGCTTACAAATACGGATTGTTTTATTTCGGGATGACAAAGAAAATTTTTAAACGATTCCAAACGTCCAGGAGTTTCGAAATATTTGCTCACGCATTCGTGCAAGATATCGACAAACTATTTTTAAAATATTAAAAAAATACATTTTTGTAAATAAAGATATATAATATTCAAATTCTCTCTCTGTCTATATATAAATTTATACGTATATAATTATAATAAATAATTCCAGGATAAGGTATACAAATAAAATGAACGTTTTAAAACTTAGTATGATCCTATGATCCTGGACAACTATGATAAATATAAAATAATATACATTACTACATGTTGTATTCATATTACAACATATAGTAATGTTGAGATATAGATAGATCTTCTTGGCATGATAGAGCAGCCAAGATCTATAGAGGAAATCCGGGTGGCAGAAGATGTAGAGGAAGACCACGGAAACGATGGCTGAATGATGTGGAGGATGATTTGAGGAAACGTGCAGAAGATCGTCAAGATTGGACTACGATGTCAGAGAGACCAAGGTCTTACATGGGCTGTAATGCCGAAAAGTAGTAGCAATTTGAAAAAAATGATAGAGCTATAAATTCCAACTATTGTTCGCCTGTCTGTCCATTCTTAACCTCGAGAACATAGTTAGGTAGACAAAATCCGAGAATAGATATGAAAAGATTAGTTGCAGGAGGTCCCGATTAACTATATACAAACTTCCGATACAAACCAGAAGTTTATGCATAGTTAATCGGGTCCTCCCGCCCTTAAGCTTTTCTTTCATATCTGGTCTTGGCTTTCATCTATCTAACACTGTTCTCAAGATTAAGGAAGAACAGATAGACAACAGTGGAAATTTACAGGTTTAGAATTTTTTCAAATTGCAGCCCAATTAAATATATATGTGAAATATAAAATGACAAATCTTTCTTGCGTCATTTCATTCATATTTCATTCATAATATTGTACTTTAGTGTGCTCTATATTCTTGTTAGTAAAATTATATATATTTTAAAATATAAAATTTTTTAGATAAGTTAAATATACATAATGAACAAGAAATTTACTGTTATAATGAATACATAAGTTTTATTTTGGTAAAGATATTTGCAACTTGACTTTAATACCAATAGAATGGGAAATTTTAACGAATGCATAATTTTGATATATTGAAACGTAGAAAAATATAATTAAATTACATCAATTATTCTACAATAAAATCTACACTATTCATAAATATACCAATAAAAATGTTTTTCGTAATCGATTTGGAATTAAGATATTGGAAAAATATCACACTAACCTTTTCAGCTCTTTTGTCATTTTTGACAGTGCAAGACATAATATGAATTATGGTAGAGTCGGGTTGTGCTGAAATGTCATTATTATTAATTAATATATTTAAAAACAATTATAAAATTTCACTACCAAATTTCCTTACAGCATAAAATATCAATTTCATTTTCAGTGATAGCTTGAATGCCACAACCTAAGAAAAGAAAGAAAACAATAGCATACACTCTCTCCATTTGTCTATTCTCTGTATCAATTTATGAGAATAATAATTTAACTATGTAAGCCTATATAAATATGTTTTTAAATCAATAAAATAAATCAGTTAATTTCCTTTAAATCGATTATCTCGAATAGAAAATAATTGTAATTGCAACAACCTACTCCAATTAGCAAATTTAATTGGAAGTTATCTTTCTCAGTTCTATTCAGTAATTAGTTAGAGATTTAAAAATTTTTAAATAATATTTTATATTCAATTAGATAGATTTTAAAGAAATAATCTTGATCATGAAATAAATTTATTGAAGAAAATAAAAGAATAATATTAATAATAAAATATTAATATATAACTTTCTATTCTAAATAAAATAAATATCATGTTGCACATTTTATACATAAATCTGTNAGAAAAAAAATAATAATTTGTCGTCTTTATGTTTGTTAACTTTTATAAATCTTCTAATATAATACTTTAAAACTCTAAATTTATTCATTTATAACTTTTGCATTTCTTGTCAATCATCAGAAATACTTACTTTCAATTCATATACTTTGCACAAAGGAGAAAGGCCTCACAAAGATCTGTCGCCCGGAGCCTCGCAATGGTTAAGGCCGCCGCTGCATAGGGGTCCAAGTCACTGTCAGACTATTTTGTCAGAAAGAAAAAAAGGCTGGAAAACAAAATATACAATCATACATTAAAGTAAAAGTATCTGAAACGTTAGAAGAGTCCTGAAGAGAAAGGTTTTTACTATGGCGTTTGCATGGAGGCCCAAAATTTGAAGCTCCGCTGCTGATGCGAGTTATGTGTATTTATGTGTAAAGAATGACGGAAAAGTCAGTTAATCATTGCAATGACTAAATAAACTAATTAATTAATTTTCAATCATTTTATAAAAAACACGTTCTAAACTTAGTTTATGTTTATCTGCACAAGTATACAGTACCTGGAACACTTACAATAAAACATGGTTAGTAGACCGTTGGATCACCCTTTATACGCCTATACATAATAATTATGCTTTGTATTTCCTAATTTTGTATATGGTAACTTGTAATTTTGTGTTCCCAATAATTTATAATAATCAAAATATTTAAAAACACAATTAAAAAGTAATAAGAGTAAATAAGTTTTTTCTTAGTGTAAAAAATAATTTATAATAAGCCAGAACAAAAGATAAAATCGAAAATATAAAGCATAAACACAAGAACACGAGGAGTTTTAGATATCAAATTAAACAAAAGTCATGTGACGAGAAAAGAGATTTATTTTTAATATTAAAATCGACTAAATATGACTTCTTTTATTACAGTGTTTAATCAAAGCTTACTCGATACATAAATATTTTAAATGAAATTCAGAAATTTTAATGAAAATAACAAAAATTTATAAAAATTTATTTCTAAACTTTTTAACTTTGTTGTTATAAAATATTTATTATTCAAATAGAAGAAGAACACGAAGGAGCTTAAAATAAAGTAAGAAATTTCAATTTTATTATTTCGTATTTCTATTATGCGGCTATTTATAAACACAATTAAACTAACTTTTTTCTTTAATTAAATTTAAATTGAAATGCTTTCGTAAGTATTAATTATTCGTGCAATTTCATTATAAAAATATATATATTTTATTTTTAGCGATTAAAGGTATATTTAATAAAACTATATTAATTCTATTTTTATTAGATTACATTCTTTAAGAATAATTTATTTAGTTGTATGTTTTATAACTGTTCGTTTTAGAATATATGCTATGAAGATCGGTTACAACGTGTTTGCTACCAATATCATTCTATTTGATTTTATATGTTGCTTTGTTGCCTGTTTACAACGTAAGTGATCGTTTAATTTAAGATTTGAGCTCAAAATGTATATTTTTACAATATTCTAATTTTTTTTAAAACAGAGAATATATTAAATGAAAGTAGAGAAAAAGCTAAAGAATGGCTGATGAAGCAACGTAAGTTTGATTGGAGTTGGGGTGTTCACACTCATAGAGCTATTATTGCCCTTTCACTTTCGAGTGAAAGTTTTAATTCTAGCTTATTACAGGATGGCTTTATAATTAAGCAACTACAAATACAACTTTCAAAAGAACTAAGGTAAGAATGTTTACGTCTTTAAAGCATTTTAAATATAGGATTATATAGAAATAACATTTTCTTTTAGGAATGTAGAATCTTTGCCACCGTATCAAATAGCATTATATATTCAAGCTTTGTTAGCAATTTGTTTAGATCCAAGAAATTTTAATGGATATAACTTATTAGAAGAATTAAACAAGAAAATTCAACACATGGATACAGTTAATACATTTCTTCCATTGGCTTTATGTAACGCACGATTTAAAAATGATTTACTTAATTTGGAATTTTATAAAAAGATCATGACAAAATCTCAACATCCAAAATGGGAAGGTCTGTTTATTTATTTTTTACTCAAAAAAATTATTTTAAAAAATATACTTAATAGTCTAATTTCAATTTTTTTTTAAAAATATATAGATGCTAAAGCGTGGTTAATAATGACATTTATATGTTCCATACAAAATGTCATCGAAGATATAGGTAAAAATATTACAGATTTTCGTTTTCTCATATCTTACATTGATGAAATCGGCAAAACTTTGAATAGTATTAAAGAAGGAAGCATTCAAAATATACACTCTATTGCCATTGTTGCTCAAGTAAGTTGGTCTGACTTATTTCCCTATTTATTTTTACTTTTTCGGTTGTTATATATATTAATAATAGAGGAAAAGTAAGAGGATCGGTCAAAAATGACCTCCAACATTTTTATATCTTTGGACTCGAGACCTTTAAACGTCGAGAAATACAAATACATTCGGGGATAATTTCTGTATGTATAGATGTTAATGTATGTGTGTGTGTGGGACACGATTTTGTTCATCCTCTTCGAAGCTTAATAACTGCTGTGCATTTTGTCAAAATTTCCTTGCAGGGAGGTTTGCTTATTAGGGAGATTGATGCTATTAAATTTTGGTGATTAAAGATCAAGTTGTAGGTCATGTGTACCTCCAGTATGGTTGGACTTACTAACGATTTTACTCGTTATTAGCATTTACAATTTTTTTTTATAAAACTCATCTTTACCCTCAAAATGAAGTCTTTTTGCCATTTTATAATAGTTAAAATGGCAAAAAAACTCACTCTACCCCGTCGACCATCCTGTATCTGCACGATGAGCTTGCTGAACAAGGTCGTCAGTGTCCACAGAATGAAGAATGCGTGAGCAATTTTTTCCTGACAAGTAATATTTTTCGTACTTTTCTGTGTATAACTCGTTACCTATGTTTTAAAGACGATTTGGAACTAAATGCAAGCTGTTCTAGCAACTCGGATTATATGCGAATCCATTCCAAATTCCTCAAATTATCGTGGACAGTACGTGTAAAGACATCCCTCTCACCGTGATGCTCGACCCCATTGTGATCAGACCCATTCGTACTGGACGTAATTATGGCTGATATAGTTAACATGTTGGTCTTCACGTTAATTAATATCACACGTCACATATATTGTACCAATCATTTTAAAAAGTATCGACAGCCCCACGTGTTTCCTTTTTACGTTCTTCGATAAAATCTACAAAAATCTTCAAAATTTACAATTGTACAAGCAAAGAACTTTAGTATCTTTCAAAATCTTTTAGATTAAATTCGTAGATTACAAAGACAGAAGTCTTTGTAATCTACGTGTATGTACTATTTGCATAGAGTATACAAAAATATTTTCAAATTACATACGAAAGCATATGTGTTGCAAACGATAACATTTTATTTTGAAAGTCTTTACATAACTTAAGTAATAAAAATAATTTTGCTAGAAGGAAATATCAAATTACACGAAGTATCGAATCTTATTTCAGTTAACAAAAAACGTTTGAATTATCATTTCCACATTTTCTCCAACGAAATAACATCTACGTCAAGGCATTTCTTTTTCGTAGCGACTTTTTCGATTGCTGTCTCGAAATCTTCTCTGGTGACATAATTCCGTTTATTTCTGATGGCCAACATTCCCGCTTCGGTGCAAATTGCTTTTACTTCTGCACCTGTAAACGATTGACCGTATTGAAGCATTGTTTTAAAATCGATTTCTCTGGTCAAATTCATTTTCTTACTGTGGATGGAAAACACGTGTGCCAAATCTTCCTTAGCAATGCGACTAAACGCTATTTTCCTGTCTATTCTACCCGATCTCAACAGGGCGGGATCTAAAGCTTCGATTCTGTTGGTAGCCATGATAACTTTTATGTTACTCGAAGAATCGAATCCGTCCAGATGACTTAATAACTCCATCGCGGTTCTTTCGACTTCTCCATCGTGTTTCTTTCCTCTTACACCTCCGATAGAATCTACTTCATCCAGAAAGATAATCGATGGAGCATGATCTTTAGCCATTCGAAACAAATCTCTGATAAGTTCGGCTCCTTCTCCTATATACTTTTGGACAAATTCTGTGCCGGCAGCTCTTATAAACGTGCATTTTGCGTGATGAGCTACTGCACGTGCTAGCAGAGTTTTTCCCGTACCGGGAGGACCATACAACAGAACACCCTTAGGTTGTCGAACGCCGAGTCTGTCGAATAATTCCGGATGTTTGAGAGGAAGTTCTACGCATTCTCTAATTTCTCGAATCTGTTTATCCAAGCCTCCGATCGCGTCGTAAGTAACATCCGGAACATGTTCCAACATCATGGATTTTACTCGAAGATTCTGTTTAGATGGAAGCACGTCCGTAATCTCTTCTTGTAATGTACAAACGGCCACTCTATCGTTCGGTTTCGCAGCTTCTAGATCGATAAATTCGCTCGCAGGAAACACGAGTCTCATATTTTCACTAAATTTGACTAATGCTAAGCCAACATCTAGTTTTTGGACCAAAGTTCCCACGAATTTCGGTTCAGAATTTTCGATTTCTTCGATTTCTTCACGAAGTGCTCGAACTTTGTTATTTAATTCGGATCTCGATGCTCGAAGTCTGTCTAAATTACGTAGTCGTTGTTTTAATTTAAATTCTAGTTTCTCAATTTCTTTCTTCAGAAATTTCTTTAGTGGATTAGATTTATCAGAATTATCTTCAAATTTATCCGAAGAATGTTCTCCACTCATTTTTTGACAGACAATGAAGAGAGATCCGAACTTATTAGAAAAGATGTTAATTTTCGATTAAGAATGAAGTGAATACAATTATGACAAAACAATTAAAAGTATTCTTTAATAAAATTGTATTTTTTTAAAAATATTTAATTATTAAATATACTAAAACAACATTCTAAATCTTTTCAGTATATTTAATATTTTAGCATATTTAAGAAGAATTTTCGTCTTAAAATTCATAAAAATGTGTCATTGTAAATACAATTAGTCTAATTACTTATTAATCGGATCCAATAAATAAATGTAATATAACTTGAAACATTAGCAAGGGAACTCTCCGCTCCGAGGACACCAGGAGGGCCTTTTTCCATACACATCGTGAGGTTACGTTAGTTCCATAATGGGGGTGGCCGAACTTAGGTGGTAGCCAGATATATACGGGACGTCCGTTAAAAACTCTCGAATGTTTTTGCCCATTTGGATTGGATCCCCATAGAGGTTGATTAGTGCCTTAACTGCCGATATTTTTACATTTTTGGTCTCAGGACATCTTGAAACGTCGAGAAATACAAAAAAATTGGTTTTTTCCCCCTGTATGTATTGTGTGTGGAGGGACATGATTTTATTCACTCTGTTTGAAGCTTAATAACTCCTGTTATTTTTGTCGAAAGTTGAAATTTTGCAGGGAAGTTTGTTTGTTATTGGAATTGATGCTATTAAATTTTGATGGTTAAAGGTCGAGGGTATGAAAAAATAAAGGGAATCGTATGTATCTCCAGTAGGGTCAGACTTAATGACGATTTTACTTGTTATTAGCATTTAAAATTTTTATAAAACCCACAAAATTAAGCTTTTTTTGCCATTTTAATATAAAAAGTTTTTCAATTGACTTATACCGAAACCACATCTTTTAATTCTTTACTTCACAACTGGGTAGACACTGGGCATCTTAACCATCACTCTTTATTCAGGAATATCTTACACATCAATACGCGTTTCGGGCATACCGTCGGTTACATAATAGAATATGAACATGTATTTTCCATATTACAAAATTTTTAATATAATGGTAAATTACAACGTGCCTTTTTTAAAAAGACATTTAGTAAAAGATGTGTATTAGTTAGCACCTCTTTACTCTTGCTGGATTTTTTACGTTTATATGTCTATCATTTACAAGTTATTTTATGCTGGGTCCCAAACCATTTCATTAACTAGTCCCTTTTTCAATTATGAAAGGAATAGAAGTGTTTACACGTTTAAATTAATTACCAAGGTACCTTCTGAGAAGATTATATTTCTGAAAACGTATTCAGAATTTTTAAAATACACTCTTTGTTCTATTGAATGGTTAATCTCTAATGAATGTTGGTTTTATGAAATATTGTCTTTACTCTTATTTTTGTCTTAAACTTATGAATTTTATCATTTTTTCAGGTATTATTTTCAATCGAAAAAATTCGAAATATTTTAAATATAACTGATGAAATAAATTGGGGTAAAGAAAATACCATTAAATATCTTTTACATCATCAACAACAAGATGGTTCCTTTGGAAATATTATAACGACTTATTTAGTTCTTCCTGTTCTATTTGAACGAAGTTTATTAGATTTAAGATATGTCAAGTGTAATTCGGATAATTTTACCCGTAAGTAAATTTATATTAATTAATAAATTAATTAATTTAATACAACTAATTTATAATATTACACGATTTTCTTTTATTGAATAGAAAAAATTGATTTAGAAAATGAAACACAAAAAGTCATTTTAAATTATTCAATTTGGATCGGTAAGAAAAAAGAATTTAACTTTAAAATGGTGTTAAAAGTACCTCCAAAGACTTCTTTTTATGAAATTATGCGTCTAGCTTCAGAACTGAATAAAAATTTTAGGTAAGTTCATAAGTTTTCTTCCCAGTAAGAGCAAAATACTGTATTGGAAATATGGAACAGATCCTTATTTTAAAACACTTTTCTGTGGCTCCATTTACGCGGTGTTTTCTTGGAACCAATTTCTCGCGTAAACGGAACAATTGCTTTAGATGTAACAGTAATAGAAGAAAGACAAGAGCATACTGAAATGTTCAGGTTTAAAAGGGAGGGAAGAGGCAAGAGAAAAAAATAAATTAAGGCAACCAGTGATAACCTGGATAAATAAAGAGAAAGAACAAGAACTTAAAGCAGAATCAGTTTATTGCGATGTTCAAACAACATTGAAAATAAACAAAATTTTGTCATTGCCTGAAGAAAACTTACATTCCTATACCAGTTCTGTTATATATAACAGTGTAAAAGTATGGAGATCGGTCAAAAATGACTTCTCAACATTTTTATATTTTTGACTCAAAGCATCTTGAAACATCGAGATATACAAAAATATTCGGGGGGTAATTTCTGTATGTATAGATGTTACGTATATGGATAAATACGTATCAGTCAAAACACATAATAGCAAATAATTTCTTGTTTTAAATATTGGTAATATATTATTCATGAAATTTTTTAATGCAATGTCGTATCACTTTATCCTCCACCATGTTTCATCAATACCAAGTGAATGCTATTATGCTGCGCCTAGTGTTGTACTTTGACAATAGTGCTCGTGAATTTTGCAAGGAGGTTTGTTTATTTGGAGGATTGATGGCACCACATTGAACATTTGTAGTAATTTCTTCGGTGTTACACAAACTAAGCAATCAATTCAAAAGCCATCTTGGTGGTCTAAAATGTAACTAATCTGGTATTAAAATTTTTTCTTCTAAACAAAAATCCAACTTCGCTCTGTAAACACTGCATCATGCTACTGTAAATACTTAGCTAATCTTCCTTTACATTGTCAATATTTTTGGGTTGGCTATTGAATAAGTGACATGGAAATATTCACAGAGAAGTCTGTTACATACATCTCTTCAATTGCTTGCCTTAACTCTAAATATTTAAAAGGTTCATATTTAATAATGAATTTGGAATTATTAGATGTATATACAAATTTTTAAAGATATCCTATACAAGTCGACACCCCTATAACACTTGATTTTTCCGTTTTATATGAATTCCATGTTGTACGAGTCACTTAGATTTTACAAATATGTGTGCCGGGCTGTGAACGGCTCACGTATTTGTAAAATCTAAGTGACTCGTACAACATGNTGTACGCGTCACTTAGATTTTACAAATACGTGAGCCTTTCAGAGCCCGACACATATTTGTAAAATCTAAGTGACTCGTGCAACATGGAATTCATATAAAATGGAATTATCAACAGTGTTATAGGGGGGTCGACTGTATTTAATTAATGAATTCAATAAGAATTACAAAGACACAGAAAAGATTAAGAAGTGACGAGGAAATATTTGTTGAGACATCGTCACAATGCCGGGTTGCAATTTTTAATTATATAATTAAAAAAAACAATATCATATTTTGTTAAATTTACTAACAAACACTTTTATATTAATTAATAATTACCTTATATAAATATTTAAATCTAAATTATTTATAATTGTTTTAGGTTTAGATATTTTAAATATCCGGACGGAATTTATGTGTATTCTTTAGCTGACATTATAAACGAACCGGAATCAGATGAAAGTTGGCAATTATATTCACTAAAAGGCAACAAACTCGAACATATCGATGAAAGTAAGTGAAAACATTAGGCTAATAATTTCAAGTCAATTTTTTATAAATAAAATATTATAAATTTGTGGGTTTATATTACTTAATTGTTGAAGAGTAATTTGAATCAAACTGCTCTAGACGACTTATAGATTTAAACAATTATAAAATGAAGCGATCATTGATTTATATCACATTGAAATAAAAATGAAATTTATATTACAGGTCCCGATAAAATATTTCCAAAAGATGGAGATAATTTTGTTTATTGGTATTCGACGTCCACCCACTTGCTTCGAAATAAACAATAATAAAAAGTTTACTATCGTTATTTCAATTGTAAAAATGTATTCTTTTTTGTTAAATACAATGTAAGAATATCTTACTATTTTATATCTATAAATAAAAGTATTTTTACTGTATGTTTTTATTTTTTATCTGGCTCTAAAAACTATATCTCACAATTTTAATATATCTAATGATTTATGAAAGTTTAAATCTTGTTTAAATGAAAAATGTCTTTTTTTTTACCTTCTTAGTTCTCAGTTTCCTTAATCTTTTTCTTAATCATACTAGAGTAGGGTGGGTGAAATGAAACATTTAAGGGTTTTCTAGCTGTAAAAAATTAACTAGGGGTAGTAAGAAGCAGTATACAGATGATAATAGAAGCTATATGCAAGGACTATAAACAGCAAAACTTAAGTGAAAATCTTTATTAACTATTAAAGGTAACGACCACATACAAACTTCTTTTAGCTAAGCCACACTCCGAACTTCATGTATGCAATCCATGTACCTTTTTTTGGCTGGATTAAAGTATAGCACATTAGCACAATCCACAAAAGTTTGATGGATTCCGACCATCATGACTCCCTTAACTTGCGATAGTTTTTAACCGATAACTAAAACATTCAATAACAGCAGTAAACTTTAATGCTGTAAAGGCATCTCTTGGACTTGCTGTTATTTTTTTTTATCGCTTCTATCAACTCTTCTATAGTTGCAGGAGCATTGCGTACACCAAGATAAACCAAAAAGAAATCACAGGGGGTTTAAATCGAGACTATAAGGTGAGAAATTTATGCCATCAGCAGTCTATTTTTCGTAATCATAAGCTTTTCAAACATACTGAAAAGACTTTTATATCGTTCTTTTATAGGCCTACTATTATTAGGTATATGTAAAATATTAAAAAATACTTATTTCCACATATTTGGCTCCTCAATCGAAAATTTTTGGCACTAGATAAATGGCGTGTGTAAATTTATTAGAGTCTAATAAATCTGTAAGGATATGATGTGAAAATCAAATTGTGGGCATATTTTAATTATTTTAAATAAAAAAATTTATGATAAACTAATTGCCTTGTATTTAAATAGATCTTTCGCTCTTTGTATGTTATCAAAACATATATACAAGTATGCATTTGTGAATGGTGATTGATTTCATTAATTCAGAAAACATTAAGATTATTAATTATAGTTGTACGTAGGGTAAGGCCGTATGAAAGTACGCGTACCTGATTTCTTTTAATGTAAAATATTTTAATTGAAATTAACTTATCCTTCCTATCTAAACTCTCACTTGTCCATATCAAAACATCATGTTTCATAAAATATAAATCAAATTCTTTTATCGGTATAATGATTTACTCTCTGATTATCTTAATTTTCTGATCTAGTAATTAGAACTTTTAGGAGTTAGGAGCACGAGTTTTCTTTCTGTTTTAAATATAAAAATAAAAATAATTTATCTGGAAACTGTTTTTTTCTATTATCACTTAACATTAAGAACATTTCTTATACAGTAATTCATAAAAGAAAGATTAAAATAATAACACATATTATAAAGTGATTTCTTTCTATTACCTTTTATATTTAAATTCAATAACACACATTTTTATTTTAAAAACTATTGTACATATTGTATTAGTTGTATAATAAATAGTGGGGAAAAAAATGTTATTCTTATGTGTGTGATTGAAATTCACTAAGATAGAAAAACAGACTTAAAAGTGATATATAATATAAGTCTTACATTCTTAATTTATAATCCGAAATGCACATAAAACATTTTATTTGCCTAATCTGTTAACACTCGGAATAATTATTTTGTAAAATTTATTTTAATAATTCATTGTTTTCAGAAATTTTACACCCTTTTTCATTACTTAACTTTTCATCTTGACGTTGAACATTTATCCAAAAATAATCCAACGATGAAAACACAGTTGGAATGACAAATAAATTATAAAATATTATAGATGTTACAGCAATAAAAACGATTTTAAACACATTCGCCGATACATCGTATGGTATAAACATTAAAAGAATGTAAATTATTAATATAAGACTTGACAAAATAGAAGGTATTATATTTGAAATAGCATCTCTCATTTTACCATTTGGTGTCTTTTTTTTGCTTTTAATATAAAGGTAAGATACATTAACAAAACATTTTACAGAAAAAATAGTTGTAATAATTTGTATAATCATTATAATAGCATTAAATTTCACTTTCCATACTAACATATATCCTACAGTAGTAAAAGCAATAGATGCTACCGAAAATAAACTGAATATAACATATACAAAATTTAAAGTAGATAGAGGAAAAATTAGCATAATTACAATACAGTTAATAATAAGAAATGTTCCCATACTATACATTATATTATCGTATTGTTTATAATATATAAAACGATAATTGAACGCACGAATGGGAATATTTGAATAATCAGTTATGTTAAATATGCTATCGATTAACGAATTTTCTTTTCTAGAGTTGTCAATTAAGTTGGTGTGGATAAAAAATCTGCTTGCTAATATGGTCTTTCTATCTTTGCTTAAAATTATATCTTTTTTAAAGGATTCAGTCCAATTAAGCTTCAAGAATACATTAGAAAGAGCATCAATGAAATGTTGAGGATCACTCATATTATATCCAGTTAAGGAGCTATGGGATTGTGAAGAATTCACCCAAGTTAGAAACTCCCTCAACCACGATTTACTAATTCCAGCCATATTGGGTAAACGTTGAAGAGAAATTATTAAATTTTCTATTTTATTCTGAATTTCTGAATCCGAATAGTCTAATCGTTTGTCAATTATCAGCTGAATTCTATCACGATAATTAGAGAAATATTTGACTTCATCATTTATATAATCCATATGAGTAAAAACGTTCTGATAATATTGAGAGTAATTTGATGATGGAGAAGAATATTTGAAAAAATAAGTACCTCCACAAAGATGTATGAAGAATATTAATAGGATGACGATTTTTGTCATTGGTTTAGTAAGCAGATTTCCTAAGTAGCATTTCTTCTTAACTGTGTTAGCAATGTTACTTTTCTTTCTTGATAAATGGATATTGGTGACGCTGAGATTGTCTGCTAATTGTAAAAAATGATAATTACTTTTTATAGATTTTACTAGTATAAAGTATAATTAAATTAAAATAAAACTACAAAATAAAATAAAACTAGATAATATCAATATATCCAGTACAGGCTGATCTAATATTCCTTACGAGCGTTTGCCTTTAAGACAAACGATCGAAAGGAAAGTTATACTTGATATTTTAATAGAACTTCGTTGTTTAAATTAAATAATATAAGAATAATAATTAACTGTGTGTTAGATATAATTAGAATACTTAAAGTAATGATGATATACCCAGGATTGGCAAAACATGCAAAGCGTCGCGCTTTGTCTCACAAAAAGTATGGTTACTTTAGATATACTACAATATATTCTTGATTATTTTTATTTCCTTTTTTCCTTCCTCCTATAATTGTGTTATATTATGGTTTTATTATGTACTAGTTTATTTCATTGAAGTTTGTCACATGACTTTTGTTACTTCATGTTCAAATGTCCTGTGGGATCGGATACGGAAAAGCAACAAAACACATGGGCGAGTTGCCAACGGGGATTCCTCCCGAAAGGACTGGCTTCTGTTTGTTAGACACGCGAAGAAAACTCGGGTGCGAACCCTCGACCAACTATCAGCACTAGTTTTGTCCATTCAGTCCCTAAGGACTCCTATAGGAATAATATTGAAAATAAATCTAAATAAATCAGAAAATACTAATAAGTAATCATATGTAGTAAGTACACTGCATATACATTACTCTTGTCATTATAGTTCAGGAATCGGTAATTACACTCGTGTCCAAAATTAAAGTAATAAACATAAATGTACTGAACATGTCAAAATGGATGGCTCTCCATTGTAATGGATCTTCCAAATGCCTTCTCTGAGGCATGCCTGATAAGCTACTGATGTATCAGGAACGTTTCCGGCTGTTAGCGGTCGTAGCAGACAGAAATTATTTCGCTGTATATGTAGTGCATTACGTATTGTCGTGCAGATACCGTACACTGCTATCGTGCCTTATTTGCATAACACTTGTATGATAGGAAGACACTTTACTGATTTACATATGATGTACTGTACATTTCGGCTACTTCAGTTTATCTGTGTAAAAATACAATATGTATTTTTACACAGGTTCAGTGTTTATTTCTTTAATTTTTGCCACCATTGTTGAATTATAATGACTACAGTAATGCATATGCAGTGTAATAACTACTTATGTATACTGCAGCCTAGTAATATTTTAATTTTTGATGCTTTTAAAATTTTTATATACAAGAATGTGTTGATTTGTATACAATTAAGCCCAAAAAATGATTTTTTAAGCATAATATAAAGACGAATTCTTTATTTTCTTTATTTTTGATTGCTCAGTCTTGTAGGCATTAAGAGGATTTGCTTTTATATTCCAACCATGATGAGGTTGGGTTAGCTTTTGTTATTAGATGACGAACGGAACCTGACGTATTCAGAACAGAATGCCATGAAAAATTTCTAGAGTATTTACAGACGACTGTTGAAACCATGCTTTAAGCATCTTAATTGAATTACTTAGAATATGTATTACGTGAGTGTTTGATTTCAAAGGATCATGGCCACAAATTATAGACATTAGTCTATTCGTATTTCTATGAGATAAATTTTTAGATGTTATGTATTCAAATCACGTTAATGCATCTAGTGATAGTAATTTTAAAGTTCCCATATTCAATACTATCTAGAAAGATATTAGCAGTCCAAATGCAACCAAATTTGCATTTGGTATGATGACATTTCAGAACATGCGAAAGATATTTCCTAAAGGAAAAAAGTAACAAAATTTACCACAACAACACTTTTAACGCTGCAAGCAACTAAAAATTTTATTGGTATAAAACTCCCATGTTATATAGGGTGATGCAGGGGATACTGTTTAATTAATGTAGTCCCCATTCTAAAGATGGTGTACAGTGTAGTGTATTCAATGGCATAATTGACCCTCTGTAATACTTCTAATTTAATGTAATACTGTCTTTCAAGCCTGCTAAATTCAATATGTCTTTGATAAACCATTCATTTCTAAGTTCAAAATTGTTTTTTGTTGTTAGCAGTGTCAAAAGTAAGCTACCGCGAGTTTTGGACACATTTTGTTTTAAATATAGGTCTAAATATCTTCCGCATGTCCTGAAATGTAAACGTGCCAGATATGGTTGCATTTAGACTACTGTATATCTTTCTAGACAGCGTTGAGTAGATACTTTAATTACGATCACAAGGTACTAGAAGAGTTATAGATCAACATCAGCATACAATAGATAACTTTCAAAAGAGACCTTACTATCGTTGTTCAATATGAATCATTGGGTACTCTTGCATAAAAATAATAATGACTTTCTTATTGTAATATATGCAAATTAAAAAATTTCCACTATAAACATTAACATATTTAATTTCTAGATTACATAGATTATAAATTAATTATAAGGATTTAAAATTGCAATACAGGTATCCATTGAACTTACTTGATTCGAGATGCAATGTGATGCGAGTAAGAAATATACTTTTTGACTGTTTGGCTTCTATGTGTCCACTAATTGCCAGCCATCCTCCGTAGAAAGTGATTTGATAGACATAATTAATTATCAAAGAAAAACACAAATAAATAAAAATTGCTTGCGTTAACTTGAATGGTATAATAATTCCAAATAAAGAAGACATGATATTAATTAAGTAAGATATTGTGATAGAAACAACAATTTTAGAATACGTTTCGTTCATCCTTTTTTCTACGCTGTCTTTAATGTGAGTTTTACACCAATATTTAAATATTAGAAGCGAATCACTCCAACTTATAACTGAAAAAGAAATAAATTAAAATGGTTATTAAAAAATGTATTAGTATTATAAAATTATTGTTAGATAAAATACTAACTTAAAAGAACGAAAAAAATTATGAGATTAATATCAAAATATTCCATATCACACAGCAAAAGACAGCCAAAAGCAGAAACTGCGGAAAAACAAGGGAAGCAACCTGCAATAATGCTAATTATTGGATTATCTGTAATAATCTTCGTTGTTCTGCGTATTGAAATAATGAGAAATACGACTGCAAATACAGTAACAATTATATAAGGTATAATTCTGGTTGAGACCGAACTTAATTTATTATTCCAAATACTCCCTGAAAATCCAGAGATATTAATATGGCGTAAAGAAAGTTTTTCTAAAGAGTTCAGAAATTTGTCTTCCCACTTTTTAGCAATTAAATGTTGTCTCGAATTATTATCATCAATAAAATAAAACAGTCGAATTGCTTTAAAATCTTTAACAAATCCATCATCGTCTGTTGATACTCCACCTAAGTTTATTCCGTAAGTATTTGCTGCACTCATCACAGTTGGATATCTGTTTAAAATATAAATGAAAAAAATGTATTTTTTTTAAATAAAAAATAATTATATTTTAATTAATCATCATATAAAAATTACGTATTTATTTCTACTATTTTAATCTTTACTATAATATATACTTTTAAATGTTCAGGTTAAGATCAGGTTAGGATCGAGAAGTCACTACCGTGATTCTCGATCCTAACCTGAACATTTAAATAGCTTTTATTGATATATTTTACAGAAAAAATCATTGCTATTAAATCATACAATAATAATAATTGATTAAAAGTTACATGATATATTATTTTTAACTACAGTTGTAAATTGTAGTCTTCATCCTGTTCATTCGAATACCCATCTCTTATTCAAACTGTATTATTTATCAAACTGTATGTATCAAAATTATTATGATCACATCATTAAAAGACTAATTTTATTCATGATAATACGTAGATCTTCTCCAGCCACTTTTACATCGATACATACAATATTGAAAACCTATATTTAACATCCAACTTGATATATAAAAGTACAAAAGAAAAAATCAGCCTGCATTATTTTAACTTAATTACTAAATATACGGACAGTTAGCGGTGTATACCCATCTGATTATAAATTATTTATATAATCAACCGACAGTTTACACAGATAATTCCTCATGCAACCCTGTATCAAGCGGTCTGTAACTATACTGAACAGTGACTTCTCTTGATGAGAATTAGTAACCAGGATTCCTCCTATATCTCCACCAATTGGAAGTTTGAGATGATAAGTAATTCATTAATTATAAACTTTTTTTGCCTCCAAATACATATTCACTTGTTTTTTTAAGGTTGATAAATTTTCATCGAATTTAAAAATTCGTAGAAAAATAACGACTTCGATTTTCAAAATTCTGAATTGTACTTTAATAGAATTAAATAGGATTATAAATGTTTGTATCTATTTACTTCCGCTTTCGAAAATTTTAGAAAAGGATTTTTTCATAGAAAAAACATTAAAATTTTAACGGCAATTGCTGGAAATGGCGTGCATAACCAGAGGTTACAGTATCCTTAAAATTAATAAATATTGTTAAAATTTTAGATTTAATTAATAAACCAATAATGAATTTACACGAATATTTTTTTTAAAACATTGGTAACAGAATTTACTGCCCAACAGTAGTCGAATGAACAGCATGATTGAATATTGATAGTTGGTCGCACCTCACTAACGGGCTGGGTTTTATGGTACTAGTTTTAACTGTAAGAATGTTAGTTAAATGGGAATCATTCAACCTATTTCTTTCAGCATTTTTGATGTTTTTCATGCCAAAAATATTGAATTTTTTCTTCTATTATTTTTCTTTTCTCAGTATTAAATGCCACGACCAAATGATGAGTTATTAAAAATATAAATTTAAAGTTGATGAAATAATTATGAATATAATTGGAGGTTGAAAATATTTAAATTATTATGTTAGCAAATATCTAAATATATAAAATTACTTGTCCTGACTGACTGACTGACTGAATGACTGACTGATTCATCATCGCCCAGTGCAAACCTCTGAACCTAAAGAGGTGAAATTTGGTATACAGTTAGGGTACGAATGCTTAAGTGAAAGGGGTTAATTTGAAAGTCTCTTAAGCAAAAAAGCGGAATAAAATAATTTTAATAAGCACATATATTGAACGATGAAATGGGAGAAGAAATTAAGAACAATTTTAAGTTGGCCCATAGTATAGAAAATAATTTATTTTCTTGAATATAAGTGAATTGAAATTCAAAATTTATTATGAATTTTATTTAAATTTTTAAAATTTAACGGATTATTCTAAAAAAAACTTGATTTTGAACTTGATTGCTACTGAAATTCACGTTTCACCAAAACAGCGGCTTTCACATAGTTAGCAATGTACAGGTATAGGATATCATATTATTAGATAAAATAATTCTTGAGGTAATAAACATAAATTGTAGTAATAAAACAATAAATTACGTTTATAAAATTTTACAGCTACGGGCGAAGAATTCGAGATATTAAAAATTTTGACTTTTCCTTTCGCTCACCTCTTTTGTTATTCATGCCACATATAGAAAACAATGATGCAAGGATGTCTAATTTTAGGAGAAAAATGCATCATAAATATATACAATTTTTCTTCACAAATTTTGCCGGAAAAGTTTCGTCTTATTATCTTTTATATAATCTTTATTGCTTTTTATTAGGTGAAAAAAAAACCTTTCCTGACTATTTTTTATATTATGTATAATAATGTAACTCAAATATTTGTGTTTTTCCCTTTAAAAACTTTATAATGACGATAGTTTGATATTCGATATTTTAAAAGGTATTATACAAATAGATTCACAAGCTTCTGCAGAAAATCTTCCAGGGAGCGAGGCTTGAAGATAAATAATTACATCAATAAATTTTTATATAATTATTTAATTTTAGAGGTACTTTTACATGTACATTATACGATACAGTATTAAAAAGTCAGACAAAGAGTTTCCTGGTCGAGGGTGAAGGTTACACATCTCAATTACTTTATGATTATAATTCGTGGAGTTTTTTATTCGCTTCCAGGAGAAAGCAAATGGCCGTTTGCCCTCTATGGACGACAATGGCAAATTCATATATAATTATATATAAGACTCTATAGAGATTTTAGTCTACAAATAGTGATACGAATGACAGAATATAGAATAATGAAGAATAGTCTAGAATACAAATTATCTTCTTAAACTAGTTATAGTTTATTTTTTCACTTCCAGAATAATTTTCCTCTTATCTTTATTTGCAAGCATATCAGTAGAAATAAATCAAAATGACGACAATTTCTGCTTAAAAAATTTCGCACAGAACTTAATAATGTAATTTATATGTACATAAATCTCTTATTAACTATTTAACCGTTTTATAATGAGTTAAAAATAATCATTTTTGAAAACAAGAATTTTTATTTTCTATAATTAAAACAAAACGAGTAATTTGCTTTGCTTTGTTTTCTTGCAAATGTAATATTTCTCATTATAATTGTTAAATTTCTTAATTAATCTTTTTAAAAATTTAAGATTAAATAGTGTTTTTAAAGAGGTATATTTAACTTCAGAATATTCAAGTTTGTTTTGTTTTTACTAAAAAAGAGGGCTTCTTAATGCCCTCGAGGGCATTAAGAAGCCCCCCTTTTTTAGCAAGATTATTATGGGTTCAATCAGGCCCATAATAGGAAGAGTGATGAGGAACGGGACGGATCATAACAACCCGAAAAATTTCCGGGAATTTTGGACCCATCCTGATTTGATTCCTGGTCTCCCAGAGCAATAAGCTACACCTCAATTCAGTCGTCATGAGTATATTCAGGGAAAAAAATCACTAAGATAGAAACTATTGTCATGAAAGTCAAATATCAGTATAAAAGATTACCTTTCATCTTGCATATTATTGAAACGTCTTTAAAACAGATTAGTGATGGTATGGTAATTCTTCTGTTTAATAATTTTAGTTGTTATTATAATGCGATTTCAATACAATAACAAATATTAATCTCATCATTATTAAGCGTTAACTGCTGACATAATAGAAATATAAAGTTAATCTTCCAGGCAATTGAATAATAGTCTGAAAGATTAATAACAATTGAATAATTGTTATTCATTAAAATAAACTTATTTCATGCGCTTTTTCAACGAAAAAAAAATCAAATTCTGAAATTTTCTGTATTATCTTGTGGATAATTTACAAACTATTTTAAATACTTTATAAAATCGCTTAGAAGAGATTGGGATATATTGTTTTCAATAAAAAAATTCCATTAAGATTACGATATTAAAATATATGTAGGAGTTCTCAAGGTCGTATAACCAGTATAAACAATCATAAGAACAAAAATATAATTGTCGACCTTCTACTGTACTATTCAAGTACACCACACGTATACACACGTATAAATAATTTTATCATAAATTTTTAAGTTCTAGTTTTTCATGATTCCATATGTTATTTCTAAGCTATTTGGCATAATCTATAGAATAATATATCATAAATAATGACATATAATTTCAACGAATTTTATTATATAGCATTTTATAATTACATCGACATTGAACCAAGCTATTGAAAGACTTTTGAAAGTAATGTGACATAATTATTCAAAAATTAAATAATCTCGCTTTCAAGGCTTTTTCATCGATTAAGAATACTATAAATACTTTTAATATATATAAGACTGTTTATCAATAATTATTTTGTTGAAATAATTACAGTAAATTACTTAAATTTTATCTCCAGAAGTAACACGAAGAATTTTAGATATAGGCCTAATCTGACAATATTTTAATTCCTATTTAACGTAAGGTATATATTTATATCATTAAGAATATTTTAATGTATATACTATGTCATAAAGTGTTTTAACAAAATTAAAAGAAGCAATTTTAGTAGTGGTGTATTTAATGATCCAGAGGATAAAACTAAATCATATTCTTCAGGTTGTAAAACCACTTAAATTCACATTATATTATTAATTTAAGCAGAGAATTCGTTTAAAACCGAATTTTTATAATTATTTACTAATAATTCACTAAAATTATTACGAAAAATATTCTTAAATGGTTACAAAAGGTAATTGTATATTGAAAAATTTTTACCAGTAATACTTTTAATTATGAAAATTAAACATATTTAGCTGTTCATGGATGTAAATATATGAAATAATTTTTATATTTTATTTATTTAAATAAAATGGAGAATGTCATTGCCGAGGATATAAAATTTATTAACCTTTTAAATTAAATGCACTTTAAAAAATTGTCTGTAAAGAGAGAATTCTTAACGCAATATATGAGATATAATTTAATGTTATTTTTAGTATTTAAGTAGGTAAAATGCATGTCTATTGTAGAAAAATCCATTATATAGAAATTATTGAAAAACAGTATAAAATCTTGATGTAATTCTCAATAAACAATTTTGAAATTATTCATTGAATATAGAAGTAATTGTAAGAATTATTTTAAGAAAAATACAATTTTTTTCCTTCTCTTTTTAAATTCATCATAAAACATTATATCTCTTTCATGAAAGATATAAAATACAATATACGTACTTTAAGTTATATGTTTTTTTACCTTATACGTATAAGTATAACGTATTAAATGCCAACATAACAAAATTTTGACGAAAAATATTCCTAATTGGTTACACGTAACGATATATCGAAAAACTTTTAGGTATAAGTGTAATGTATGGAAATACAATACGATAATTTACCTGTAGAACCGGTAGACAAGCTATGTCATTCTGCTATAAATTAAGGAAACAGGCTGTAAATTTTCATAGAAAAAGTCAACTTTTTGAATAGAATATTAATACATTATAAAGATAGATGACACATAAAGAGATGTTTGACACATTAATTAAAATAAAATATTTAGTGTTGAAAAACGAATAAAATCACAAGAAAAATTAAATGTAATTATATTATTAGGGCATATATATATATATATCATGAATGCTTATATTAACAATATATAATACAGAATTATTTAAAGATTTATTGTTTTGTTTTAATTATATTTTGCACGAAATAATCTTACCTGATTTGTATTCTGCCATGTAAGAATGCACTTAATTTGTCGACTAAGTTTAAAATATCATTATGGAAACATATTCCTTTTGTTTTTCTACAGATATCGGTATAAGTTAAATTATACTTTTTATGAATTATGGTCATATTTCGAACCATCCAATCCAAATTTTCTATTTCTTGAAATATGGATTCTCGAATCATGGAACCTCCATCTTTAGCCTTGGCTATAATGCTACTGTACGCCTTTAACCTAGTTGTTCGAGAAAAATCAAAATCGGTTGCATTTTCTTGAAATAATTTTTCTATTTCTGATCTGTCTATGATACTTTTTTCATTAAAAAGAAGATATGAAAATTCTTTTTCATTTTGCCCTTTTATTCGCAAGAATCCACAAGCGAATAATGCGGTAAATAATAGAGGAATGCAAATGAATAAAAGTGGATGACGACCAATGCAAAAACTAACTTTATGCAAACATTTTGAAAGTTTTTGATAAATATACTTATATTTTAAAACGTGCAGATAATCCATGCAATTCATATTTAATTATCTGAAAATTAAATATACATATATCAATTTTTAATTACATAAATATAAATAAATTTATCTACATATATAGTTAAAAACACATTTACTTTAACTATGTAACAAGAAAAAATAATAAGATAAGAGAAAAAATGAATTTTTGTTGTTATTCTAGTAGCATAAATAATTAAAATGATAATTTAGTATATATTTATTTATAATTTAAAACATTAAAAAATTAAAAAGAAATAAATTATAAGATATTTTTTTTCTTAATTGATTAATTAAGCAAATTACATGTAAATCTACAATTTAAATATTATATAAAAATTATTTATATAATTATCGAACATGTTTCAGACTCTGAAATGCTCGATATAACGTAGTAAAAAAGATATTAATTTCTTATTTAAAAATAAATGTATTTTTAAATATTAAATAAACAAATTTTATATGCAAATAAATACTATAAAAATATCTTTTTTCTTAACTGATAAATGTAGTATATTAAACTTATTATTTATATGTATAAAATATAATAACGTTACTATTTATATAGGCCTATATTATGCGTAACAACAAAACTTATTTTATATTAAAATTTAATATAGATATTTATTATGACCAGATTTTCAATTTAATATTTTAATTCTTATTAAGAAAGTTTATAAATTTTGTTTTCGTGTATAAAAGTAACTGTTTATTTTATTGTTTGTTATAACAATATTTGAAAATAAAACTTAATGATATAAAAGAATTGATGTAAAATTAAACGTTATAGCATTTATTAAACTAGAAAAAAAACCATCATTTTTGCATAAATTAACCAATCTGAAAATTAGAAATTTATAGTTAAATTTTCTACTTTATAATTGAAATTGTGTTGTTTATTAAAAAAATGTTTATTTACACAGATTACGAAAACAAAATACAGTATAAACTATTTTTATTGTACAGTAAATTCATTATATTCAACGTCTAATTTTATTAACTATCTATTAATCAATCTAATTTTATTAATTAGAATTTAATTAAAAAAATATGTTTTTTCATTGTCAAAATTTTCATAATTTTAATTATTTATCGCTATTTACGTTATAAAAAGTTGTATAAAATTAAATATAATATTAATTTACCTGTTATTTATGATACGTTTCCTCCTTTCATTATATCTGATTTTACTAACAATATATAATTTATATACTTTGGACTCAATTCTAAACACATTCTGTATTTGTAGAAATTTAATTTAAATTAACCTCAGTATAATAAAAATTTGCCAAAATTTATTTTTACGATATTATCTTTGTCCCGTCGAGTTACTAAATGAATGTTATATTTTTCTCATCCGATAAAAATTGAACTTTGATTCTGTTTATACAGTACTGTAATTGCGATAATAAACAGATAAAAAAAGAAAAGTCGGGTAATGTCTTCCTTCTTTAAATTTCCTAGTACAATACTTATAGTGTTGACCAGTGTATGTAACTGTGTGGCCGGTCAAGAACCAGTGTTGTGTTTAATTAATTGTCGGGTGCCAGAATGTCACTCATTTGTGTAGAAATTAAAATTCGCTGTATTTATTTATATATGTAATTACATATAAAATACTGTATATTTTTTTTATTTTATGTTCTGCATCTCACATGTTATAAAATATATTTAAATGAATTATTAGTTCACGTGTCTTTCATCGATGCTTGTTATATAAGCAATGTACTGTACTTCTGCTAAAATAATTTAACATTTCAGAAATTCAAATATTCTATTAGTGATTAATTATTTCTTATTTCGATCCCCCCTTTTTAATGCTATTTAAATAAGAAATAACCTTAAAGAATAAAAAACAATTTAAAAATTTTAATACAACTTGTCTTTGAATTTATTATTATTATTTTTTAAAGCTGTACATTTATTTATGCTTAAATTTATATTTTTTGTCTTGAATGTCCCAAATAAAAAATTTATAATATTTTATTTGGAATATTTCAAATGCAAAATGAATACAATTTAGAAGAAAACATAAAATAAAAGAAAATAAACAATAAGATTTATTTTTATAAATTTTTATATTTTCGTTTTGTTCTTACGCTATCTGAACGACGTAGTTTAAATAATACTATCTTATCCTTAATTAAAGAAGTAATAAATTCTTTTTATTTTAATTTAAGAACATATCTATAGGCTACATGTTCTTAAATTAAAGTAGAAAGAGAGCGATGTGTACTCATTATTTTCATTTCATTAATTTACTAAATTTTAATATAAGAATGCTTTAAAATTATAGTAATGTTCCAAACTATCTTGTCTGAGTGTTTTTTTTAACATTAATTCTTATTCTTTTGAAATGTGCACTCTTTTTAGATTTACTAAATTAATCTTGATCGGTTTCCTCAGAGATCATTGACATTCTCCATGTTTTTCATGATATTTTGTCATTATTTTAAAGTTTAACGCATTACTCTTTCATTAATTCTAGAACAGAATTAAATACTATGAGATACCGGGACTCGCATTAACTATAATCGATAAAAGAAAATAAAATTGACAAAAATATATACTTGAATTTGTTTCTTTATGCATATACTGTACATAATACTAAAGGTAAATTATGTAATTTTATGTAAATTCTCTAATAAAGTTAAGTATAATTCAATTCTATCGCGATAGAATTGAGACGGAGCATAAAAGAAAGAGGCGATCCTTTCACTTGTCAACATAGAAATACGATCCAAGAACAAAGCAATCGGCGTCAATTGCTTTGTTTTTGTGTTTTGCTCGTTTCTCGTGCTCATTTTCTGTTAAATGGGCGCAATGCTGTTTTTTAATTTTTTATTGTTGTTCTCTAAAACATTATTATAGGTTAGTTCGTTTGAACTAGTATGGTTCTCACTACTGACACGTAGACTGATGCTTAAACACATCGAAAGCATACAGCAGCGTGCACTTGTACAAAATGTACAAGCAGTGACTTCGATGACCAGATCGCATATAACGTATCGAAGTTCACAAAACGCCCGATAATCTGGACCCACTCTGCTCCCGTAGGTGTCGAATTAATGAAATTCTACTGTATTAAATAAAGCTCTTTACTAGGATCATATGCTAATTTTGGATGACATTATGATGAACGACATTCGTTACATTACGTGTTTTCAATTAATATTCTAATTATTCAACGCTGCAGAACAAAATTCTTGGGTTTAATGTAAAACTTTTCCGTACTGCTCTATTACTTTCCCGGCTGTTATATAGGCTATAACAGAGGATCGATCAAAAAATGACACGCCCGAAGATTTTTACATGGACATTTTGGACTCAGGAACGTCGAGAAATGCAAAAAAAAAAAAAAATTCGGATTTTTTTCTGCATGTATGGATGTTAGTGTGTGGGTATGGGTGGTGGGTATGGGTGGGTGGATGGTTGGCATGATTTTGTTCATCCTGTTTGAAGCTTAATAACTCCTGTGCTTTTTGTCAAAAATTACTGAGATTTTGCAGGGAAGTTTGCGTATTAAAGGCATTAATACTATTAAATTTTGGTAATTAGAGGTCGAGAAAGTGGGGAGATAATGGGGGTCGTGTGTCATATCTCGAGTAAGGCCGGAGTAAATGACGCTTTTATTCGTTATTAGCATTTACAATTTTTATTTTTAAAACCAATCCTACCCTGAAAATTAATTAAGCTTTTGATATGTTATAATAATTTATTATATGAAAAGTTTTTAATAATAAAATATCATAACAGATGATGCCATACACGCAGTTTTAAATGTTGTCGGGAAACTTAAGTAACTCGTTGCTGGATTTTTTTTGAATGAAAATGCCCGTTCGCAAAATTGTTAACTACTGTATTTCATTAGCATTAATATTAATTTTCAAAACTCTTTATAAACTAAATTTTGCTTTTATTTAAGAATACAGTTTGTTGTTTATGAAGTCGACTAATAACGTGGTAACGACAAGATTAGTTCGATTATAGGATATTCCATATTAAACTTATGTATTGATGGCATCTGACAATTGAATTTAAAATCTTATGCTTTCGTAACCTTTCATAACGGACCATGGCATTGGTTTATTTATCCAGCTATATTAAAGCCGCTTTACCAGGCGATACGCCCATAGACTAGCGCTAAAATATTAATTTAATTTAAGCAATTAAATTAATATTCGATTAATTTTTCTTTTCACTACAAAGTTACATTTGTTTTAAAATTATATCTGAAGAAGGTGGTTTCGTCCCCTTTTTTCCCAATGTAGATTATTCATAACAAAAATTTCGTGACGATTCGTCGATTTTTAGTGATTTTTTTGTGGTTTGTTTATTTTTTTCTGACGGAAATATTTGCTTCATATACGGTATACTGTATTATATAATATACCGACATTGTTTCAATTACTGTATGTAGAGCAAATTTATTTTTCGTTAAGTAATAAATGTTACATTTTTCTCTCGCCAGATGACGCTACAGTGGCTAATATAAAATCTACAGAGACGAATTTCACTCAAGGATATCCTGAGATCTCATTTAACCTGAAAGGATTCCACGAGGAAGCGACTGTGGCCAAGTGGTTCCGTTCCCAGAACACTAGGAGTTCGGTCGTGGGTTCGCGCCTCGCCAGGACGGGCTGGCCACGTTGGAGTTTTCGGGTTTTCTCTACGTCTGTAATGACTGAATAGGGGCCAAGTTACCCTTAAAAGACCTCCTGGAAGGCATTATTCCTCCGTTCTCATATAAGGCCAAGCAGTTAAAAGCTTCGGCCGGATTATCGGATGATAACGCCATTGCTCTTCGGAGTAATATAGCCGAAAAGGCTGCATATTCCACATAAACCAATGAGATAGATAGGAAGTAGCTCGATACGCTTGACAGCTGGGTACAATACGGAAGTAAAATGCACCAAAAAGTTTAATGTCGGTCCTCCTACAGGAAACAAAACCAAGATGACCAGTAGATCAAACTGCAAGACAAATGCCAACCGTTCCAACTTTGGTCTTTCGAGGGTTATAACTTATTAAAACGGAATATCGTGGAAACTGTACTACTTTACGTCCTTCTCCATTTTCATTGCAGGAATGCAGAAACGACCATTTACTATTAGCTAGCCTGCCCCCATTACGAATAAACATAACGAAATTTAGCCTAAATTCGACTGTTCAAGTACAGTTGGATCCATAGATGCTTTTGGCAGGACTACAAAGGCAAACAATGTGCCATTATATACTTTAGAATCTCTAAAGAAATATATCACAGACATCACCTTCAATAAACGAAGTGCTCTCGTCGAGGCCAAAGCCTCCATATTAAAGGAGAGGAAGAAGAAGAGAAAAATTCCATAAATAAAATTTTCTCGACAATAAAAAAAAAATTCAGATGATANCTATTTACGTTATAAAAAGTTGTATAAAATTAAATATAATATTAATTTACCTGTTATTTATGATACGTTTCCTCCTTTCATTATATCTGATTTTACTAACAATATATAATTTATATACTTTGGACTCAATTCTAAACACATTCTGTATTTGTAGAAATTTAATTTAAATTAACCTCAGTATAATAAAAATTTGCCAAAATTTATTTTTACGATATTATCTTTGTCCCGTCGAGTTACTAAATGAATGTTATATTTTTCTCATCCGATAAAAATTGAACTTTGATTCTGTTTATACAGTACTGTAATTGCGATAATAAACAGATAAAAAAAGAAAAGTCGGGTAATGTCTTCCTTCTTTAAATTTCCTAGTACAATACTTATAGTGTTGACCAGTGTATGTAACTGTGTGGCTGGTCAAGAACCAGTGTTGTGTTTAATTAATTGTCGGGTGCCAGAATGTCACTCATTTGTGTAGAAATTAAAATTCGCTGTATTTATTTATATATGTAATTACATATAAAATACTGTATATTTTTTTTATTTTATGTTCTGCATCTCACATGTTATAAAATATATTTAAATGAATTATTAGTTCACGTGTCTTTCATCGATGCTTGTTATATAAGCAATGTACTGTACTTCTGCTAAAATAATTTAACATTTCAGAAATTCAAATATTCTATTAGTGATTAATTATTTCTTATTTCGATCCCCCCTTTTTAATGCTATTTAAATAAGAAATAACCTTAAAGAATAAAAAACAATTTAAAAATTTNCGTCTAATTTTATTAACTATCTATTAATCAATCTAATTTTATTAATTAGAATTTAATTAAAAAAATATGTTTTTTCATTGTCAAAATTTTCATAATTTTAATTATTTATCGCTATTTACGTTATAAAAAGTTGTATAAAATTAAATATAATATTAATTTA